AAAAAAAAAAAAAAAAAAAAAAAGAACATTTCAGACTATTGCACCAACCTGTGTAGCTGCTCTTATTGCAATCCAGGCTTGTACTTTGTAGATGTCTGATTTCACAGCCTCTTCAGAAAAGGGTTCTTCAGAAGAGGTCTAAAATTATATACTAGTTCATAATCAGGATTCTAAATGTATTATGGTAAMACATATTTTAAGTCCTTCTGCTTACAGACAAATTGTTTTACTTGTAAGTTGTAAAAATTGGCATTGACTGTAAATCCATGGATTAATTGCTAAAAATGAAAAAAATATCCAGAGCATACTAATTGGCTGCTTCTGGAAAAAGTTTTCTCAGAGCAGCTCATACCATGGTCACTACTGTATCCAGTATTGCTATCATATTCCATTTTCTAGAATCTGAATGACCTCTTTTCTCTAAGGTTACACATTCTGTTTTTTCATTTATGGCTTGTAGGAACTTTGATGTGGTTGGAAGACACTTGTATTTCTYATGCTGTCATTCATATTTGTGTGGAAAAATTGAGATCTGGTAAAATTAGCATTTAAAAAAMCAGGTTTGAATGTTAAGTATATTTTTCAAGGTACAAATTGATTTGTACATAATGGGAACTGAAAACACTGTTGGTTCTATCTCTTCCTATTTTATACAGTAAAATATTTTAAATATTATCATTCAATGCAATAAACATGAGATATAACATCAAACAAGATCAAATTCTATTATATTATTTCATTGTGTGATTTTTCTAGGAGGACTTTCAGTATCAGTATTATTGATAAGTCACTGCAAGTGATAATATGGCAAGGTGAAATGAATATATATTTCCTGCTKTGAAAAGGCCTCTCACTACCCAAAAGATAGAAAACATACACTTAATTTGGAAGGCACCGACTTATCTGTCTGTGATACATCCTCATTATTTGTGGCAAAATACAAATATAATAATGCTATTTCAAGGTATGATCGTCGTATTAACCTGTGAGAAACAACACACAGAACAATCAATTTTACTATCACAGTGAGCATTACAATGGTACAATCTGACTCYTGCATAAGACTTGCCAGATACTTCACCAAATAAATCATTCATCCCATCACTTCTTTAAGTGYATCTTCTTACAGAAAGCCTTGGGATCCTGTTTTAAAGTCATATRAGTCTAAAACATCCGTATGGTATGCTTAACAAATAACATCTTGATTTAACAGTATATAAAATATAATTTCTATTATTTGAAACAAATATTCCATTAAACAATTGCAAATGTTTTGTAAGAAAACCATAGTTCTGCAAGGGAAATGATCTTTCTGTACTGTTGYCTTTCTTCCTCAAGTTAAAGCATATACCCATTGCCCCAGTTTCCCTGAAACATGGTTGAGGGCGGCTGAATTTGGATATCATTCAAATTGRGTTCTCAGTCAAACTCTTGCAAGAATCAGCAAAAATACCCACAGTGACCAAAACAGACTTGTTTCCTAAATGGGCTCAGCTGAGGAACTTTCTTAGTTTTGAGTTCTGTACCAGAATGTTTCMCATCTTCAGACAGTGCTTACTAATTCCCGCTCTCCTGTTTCTTTCTCTTTTCAGTGATTTTTACAACWGTATTGTAAACTAAGCAAAGTTATAGAATCATAGAATGGGTTGGGTTGGAAGGGGCCTTTAAGGGCCATCTAGTCCAACTCTCCTGCAAGGAGCAGGGACACCTTCAGCTAGATCAGGCTRCTCAGAGCCCCATCCAACCTTACCTTAAATGTTTTGAGGTACAGAACATCTACAACCTCTCTGGGCAATCTATTTCAGGCAATCACCATAGCAAAAAAATTCTTCCTTATATCTAGTCTGAATCTACCCTCTTTTGGTTTAAAACCATTACSCATTGTTCTATCACTACAAGCACTATTAAAAACTCTGTCATATAAGCCCCCTTTAAGTATTGAAAGGCTGCCAGAACACCTCCCTGGAACCTTCTCCAGACTTAAAATTCCAGCTCTCTCAGCCTTTTCTCATATCAAGGTGTTCCAGCCTCTCATAATTTTTGTGGCACTCCTCTGGACCCACTGCAATAGGTTCATGTCTTTCCTGTGCTAAGAACTCCAGAGCCAAGTCCGGTACTCCAGACAGGATTTTGCCATATCAGAGCAGAGGGGCAGAATTAATTCCCTAAAACTGCTGAAAATCACTAAACCTGGAGAATTTCTCCAATGTTTCTAATTCCTGTAGGTTTATACCAGTCTTACGCAGATTCCTCCTGCCTCTGCAGATTTCTCCAGATCTCACCTATTAATTAACTGTCCCAAGCATAGCAACAAACTCCTGCTTACATAGTTACTATTCTGGACAGATTTATCTTGCCCAGAGTTGGTTGTTTATATAGCTTTAGTACAATTTGTGTAAAGCAAAATACAAAAGTTAGAGTACTGTACTCAGTTAAAGACTGAGCAAACAAACTGGGAAGATGGCAAATTCTACACTCGGTTGGCAACAATTTAGTTAAATTTCTAGTCTTGCTAACAAAAAAGGATGTGAGACACCAAGAAACAACTTTAATTAAACAATTCCACAGATATCACAGGRCTTGTATTTGCGATCAGGATGTTTAGTTCTCTAAAACAAGAAAGCCATGGTCCATTGATGGTGTTGTACATTCTTTTAGAAAGATGGTAGCAAATTAAATCAGAGTGTAGCAAATTAAACTTGCAAAACTTCACCACAGTCCATTTCTGTACCATCTTCCATCATGCTGACTGCTTGTTGAGGTTTATTACTATGCCACTGCTTCTATGTTCAGAGTTCTGGTTCATTAACTTAAGTAACAGAATATCCAAACAAGCAAGGTAAATTGCTGCCTTTACACTGAATCTAACTAGACATGGCACATAATTCATTTAGACTGGTCAAGAAACAAAAAAAAACCAAAAACCCTAAAGTCCAATGTATCAGAGCTGCTTGACAGAATTTATTGGCTGTCTTGGCTCAGCTCTTCAGGCATCTTCTAGGYTGATAACTAATGCCAAAGTCACTGTCCTGATATCTCTTACAAACACATTTCCTACGCTCCTCCTGCCTCTGCTCTTCTGACTATTTCTGGCTGCTAACCTTTTCAAGCTGGATTTCTGTTATCTGGAAGGGGGCAGACCACAGCTCATCTTCTGAAATATGAATAAACCTCCTGTTTAATTGATAGCTCTGTTCCCAGTGTTGACAGGCAGGGTACAAATTTGGAAATAGAACAGAAAGCTGTAACTTTTGTATAGCATTACAAAATGCTTTTAAACGTTCTTATCATTTGTTTTAAATAAGAGAATAAATATCCACTAGCTCTTCTATATTGAAATAAAAAAACCCTCTAAAACATCAAAGATCCTCCATAATAGAAGTCCCAGAGCAAAGCTCAAAAATCTGTTTAAAAATTATATTAATATATGATTTAAATTCTTTTCAAAGTGATTTAGCTAGATTCTTACTCATATTTTTGATCATGTTGCTGGCTGAGCTTGATAGCTTCCAACAGAGTTTCAACAGCTTGAGAAGACTTGTTATTGCCTGTCTCAGTTATCTGGCRTCCTACCTTACCTTAGAAAGAAATACAGAAAGTAGATTTTCAAGATGTTATTATTCTTCTCTAAGACCCACCCAATCTGTTTTTCCCTCACAAGAAGTTAAACAACATAATACATTMTCTATTCCCTTCTTGATAAGCAAAATCTTTTCCAGTTTATTTTAAAGGTAATGCACAATACTTGTATAACTATTCTCTTCATAGAGTAGCTAAAATAACCAAAGTTGGGAATCATGATACCCCCTAACRTTTCCTGACCCCAACCAGCAGATCATTGTGTGTGGGGGATTCAGTGCACAGGCACWGGCCTGTTCTGTGCTGTGCTGTGAGGCACACACAGTGTGTCCTTCAGGCCCCTGTTGTACTGGGCACATCCCAAGGCACAGGATAACTGCAGCCAGCTCACTGTAACAGAAGAGCCTGTTGGCAGCAGCTTCTTACAATCTTTCCACAAAAGCAAAGCAAGAGGTTCTTCATGTGAACAGGCTTTTTTTTTTGACAGTGGAAATGATGAATAACATTTTTTTTTCTCTTAAGAATAGCTAAAAGACCAAGATGTGGCAACTTTTCCACAGACAGGATCCGTATTCCAATCCACCCTGATTGGAAGCACATTCAATGCTGCACAACTTGGAGTTCTCAGCCTCTGCAGTAATAGAAGATTATTTGCATTTTCTCATTTTTCTTTTACAGTGTTAACAAAATGGCATTCTAAGGTATGCATTACAGAGTCTTCAATGTCTTTGTGGCTGGGACYCTCATAAACCAACACATCCTGGTGGAAAACATAAATGCCCTTAGTCTCATTGGCCACACCCTCTGATCCCAGATAGCACACAGATGAATGTAGCTCTAATGCAGTTTTGAAATTATTTGTAGAAAAATAMATCCTGAATTATTCTGGTGTGATACTAAACACAGGAGAGAGATCTGCATCTAGACAGGGAGAAATAACCAAAGCTGTTCTAGTTTTACAGTAAAAAGTCTCCATTTTAAGAGATACCATACATAACACTGCCTAGGATACCACYCAGGATGCACAAACAGGGGTTTATTTACCTATCTGAAAAAGAAGTTCAGCTTCTATATCTAATTTTTTTGTTGCAGYTGCTCTGCAAAGTTGCAATGCTGATTCTAAATGCCTGAGAGCATTTAGCCATTGCAAGTAATCTCCTCCTGCATCTGTACAAGCTATGTTTTCAGTCAATGTACATCCTAAAGAAAAAAAGCAAAACGGTTCTTCATAATTTATTTAATAGACAAGCAATTATGCAAAAAGAAGCAAATTCCTTAGAAAAAATGCTATTACATATCTAATGTTACAATCCAATTCCCAAAAATTCAAGTGATTGATGGATATAAATATAAAACTGTAATAGCGTTTCACTACTATATGATGCCATTGAGGTTTACCTTYGGCAATTCAAAAAAAGCCCAAGCTACACAAATCAACCCATTCTTAAAATATGAGTGAAAATTAATTAAAACTTAAAAATAGTAATGAGTTGTGTTTTTCTTACCAATTTTCATTTTGACTTGAGCTAGCAAGTTAATCTGTGGCAGGTAGATATTTTTTGTAGGCAAGACCAGGCAAGTCAATGTACTGTCTTCTATTTGCTGTTCAATGGGTTCACCACAAACAAAAATCTATGAAAAGAGGAGGCTCAGTAAAATCAAGTTGCAGACAGCAAATCAAATAGCAGTTTGAAAAAGTAAGTTAGGTATTAAAAAACCCTGGAACTCAAGTGTCTTGTGAAAGAGCACTAGAAAACGATTCCATGTGTCTAAACTCCTTTACTTTAGTGTGTACTTGTCTTGCAGAGGAGCCTTGTGATGCAACTTAATAATTTTAATGAACTCTTGATTGAATTTAATAATGTTAGGCTTTGGTTTTTAAAAGAAAACTCCCTCAAATCAGTGTTTGAGAAACAGAGCTCACAAGTAAGTTTCTTTCCACAACCCTGGAAAGAAACTGTCATTTCTACMATGAAATCTGACATCCATCAAAGGCCAGAAATGAAAAAGAAATCAGCATGTATGGACCAGACCAACCTTTCATTCATGGAGATAAGATGACGGGGAGATGCTGTAAAGTGCCAACTGAAGGTGAGCAAGTCTCACAGTTGGAAGTTTGAGTCTGAAGTGATTAATCTGACTCTTTATTACTTAGAGAAATAAATATTTCAATGGATTAAACTTCCCGTTTAGAAAATATGAGTAAAGAATTTGATCAAAAAGCTTTTCTATGTAACCTGTACCAAGAACAGGTAAAAATTACTATCATTTTTGCATCCCAAATAAATAAATGGTTTAATACTCTCACAAAGTTCATGTTTTTGGATTTAATTTTTTTAATTACATATTTAAATTTTGACATAGAAATTGTTTCTTCATACCAATTGTAACAATCCATCAATATAAAATATCATTCTAATTTATACGGATTTTCCTGATTCAAATTATTCAAAGATACAAAGCTAAGTTATTGGATGCCTAACAGTTATGAATTTGATGAGATCTATATCCTCCCTGGGGTGTTGAGTATGAACATGTCTCTCATTTCAAATGGGAAAAGTGAGTCTGCTGCAACTCTTTGAAAGTCAAACTCCCTATTTAATGTTTTACATCTGGATGTGCATTTTACAAGTAATTCTATATTTTAAAATTGTGTGAAAATACCAGCCTACATACATCAGCGTGCATGAAGAGTATGGTTAAATAGTTTGATAAGATGAACTACTTCTTTACACTACTCCAATGCAGTTAAAACTGCAGTGGAYAGTTAATAGGAATAGCCCTGTAAAATAAATAGATAAAATAGCTTCCAGGATAAATTCTTAAGGCTGTTAGAAGGATTCGGAAATGCACCGACATGTACTCACTGCTTTAATGGTAAGTTTGTGTGCCAAACCAAGCAAGTTTAATGGTTCCACTGCAGAAGAGCAATGTTCTTTATCCTCTGCTATTCGCAGTGGCAGTATGTCTGCCAGCAGGAGCATACTTTTCACAAGAGTCAAAGAGGCTGGCAGGGAAATGAATGGATCCTCTTGGAGTAAACGGATGATATTCTGTTTGGACATWGACATAAACCAAAGCAGTTACTACTCTTCCTGTCTATTTAGGAGGACAAATCACACAAAGTGAAAAAAAAAATCTATTTTAGAGGGACTATTTCAAGTTTATTTAATGCTGCCATCCGCTGTTCTGACTACACAAAAAATGCATCAAAGAAAAGCAAACAATTTCTTCTTTGTGCTCAGACCTGCAAAAGAAGTTTAATGTCTGCCACGGGACGTTTTTCTTGCAGGTCAAGAATAGCCGTTTGCACCATCATTTCAGCCTGAGTCTCAATATCACCAAAGGCTTCTGCCTCTGTTGTTACTTCTTTTATCACACTTCTGCGCTCAGCCACATCATTTCCTAAGAGAATATATTAACAGTGAAAATACAATGGAAAATACTTTATTGTGTGTTCTACCACGCTTAAGTCATTTCTACGCAAAAAAGTTACAGAAAATATGACATTATAGATTCCACATTCCACATGTACCATTTCATCAATTTTGTGTCTGATTTACTTTTAAAAGAAAGACAAACCACATAGTTTCCAAACTGCACTAGGTTTAAGTTCATCCAAATGCATGGTTTTAATGTAAGCCAGCAACAGATATTGTAGATCTGTTCTACATATTCAAAAATCTGATTTTAGTTATAATTGCAAAATAGTAACAGCCTTCACAGCAGCAATCCAGAAGTGAATAAATAAAAGTTTGGCTACAGACTTCAACTGATTTTGATACTTAGGTGAGCATCAGAGTTCATAGAACTAAGGAATGAAAAGCATTTTATGCATAACCAAACTTCAATAAATGTATTTTCCAATATATCTCTTAAATCTTAAAAAAAAAAATCTGGAATATTTTTAGAAGCTATGTAGGAATATTTCATTATTGAAGCTATAAAAAGTGGAAAAATATTTTAAGACTTTTAAAACTAGAAGTACTTAGCAATAGTGCTTTATTTTAAAACAACCATACTTTCCTAACTGAAAGTTTTACACACAAGTAACATTTGAAACTAGAACATTTGAAACTTTTACTCATGAGTAAATTATCAAAAGATAATGACCATTAAATGAAAACAAATATAATACTTCCAGTACACATGCTCTAGGACAGAATTTATTTATAAATATATTTTCCTTATTAGACTGGACGAATTTAATAGAGATAATTGTTCAGTGACAATTGTTCAGTGATAATACAGCCCCAGAATTAATGTTAGTATTTTTTAATTATGAATAAGAACTGTGTGTGTACAGGCTCATAATCCTAAAATCTAAACCAAGAAAGAGTGGTACCTTTGATATCACAAACACCACGTATCTGTGTGACGAGCGCAGTCACTAACACTGTTTGACACCTCAGCCACAAACGTACATTCATGTGCTCTTGTGCTATTACACTGGCAGGCAGTTGGGCATCTTCAGTGTTGGAGTCCTAATCATTTCCAGAAGCAAGAAAAACATTACTTTCTGAGTAGCATTACTACAAACAAGGCAACAGGGCAGAATCAGTCTAAAATAAATTAAATCAATACAAATATGTTACAAATAATAATAAYCTTCTAAACAGAAGTTTATTTGAAGGCTAGATACATATTTTTAATAAGAGGAGGCCATTTATTATTTACATTTTAATGTCTATTAAAAAAAAAAAAAAAACTATTGAAAATCCAACCACATTTTATGTGAGAACCAATAGATACAGATGTATAAATACATCTATATATTATATTTATTAGGGAGAATAATTCTAATAGTTCGGATTTTATTCCACTCAAACAGGAATATTAAACAAAATTCTAAGGCACGTGAAAGTCTAATTGTAGAGCAGAATCAATATCACTTTCTGGTACCTCACTAATGACCAGAAAGAAATTTTTGATTTCTAGCTTTTTGTGTTTCTTCTGTTTAGAAACAAATACTAGTGTAATGTAGTACTACAAGTGTTTGTGAGAATTCTTAGTTCAACTCCCTGTGCCATTTCCACATATAATAGACTGTCTTTTATTACTAAAATTCTACAGACCATGTTCTACAATTTGTTTCAGCAATCAATCAATGGACAGTGCYTCCCCCTGCATTTTACTCATACAAAAAATCATCATGACTGGTTTGCATTGATGCAAATGAAGAAAAAATAAAACTGCAACTCAGTTACTGGCTACAGGACTGTCCTGAGAAAAAAGAGGAGCAAGTGCAGCGAGACAAAAACCCAGATATGCAACACAGAGAGAAAATAATTACATTGCGTGCAAGAAAGTCCACTTCTCAATATGCCTGTTACAAAAAATCTCACTGCTCAATTGCTCTGTCTATATGAGTCAATTTGACTCACTTTGCACTTGAGAATGACTGTGTGCTGTGTGACCACAGGCTTTCCACAGCAGATGTCACAATCCCTACGTTTTGGGCAAAAGAAGTCAACTGAAATCTTGCTCAATGTGGAACACAGCAATGATTTAAACTGGTCAGTCTCACTCTTTGAAAGAGAATTAAGTTTTCAATGAGAAAACCTAAAGTACCTTAGCTGAATAATAGAAGATTTTCACCTGATACCCATTTTTTCACTTTGTTTGGAGATTTTAAACAAAAGGAGATTTTCACTGCTGCCATTTGAGAGAATAGAAATAAAAACTGTAATTCCTAACCTCATACAAATTATAATGATGATTACGGACACATTGAGTACACCTTAGGCAAGCAGGTATCTGAAGCATGTCAAAGATCATTTTTCTCCCCAGGTCAATGGTAACCACATAATACAAATGACTGCTATGTTCTAATACTATGAAAATCACACAATACTTAATACAAGAAAGATTCATATGCAAAGAGAGATTAGTTTAAAACAAATATCCGCACTTACCAAATACTCCCTTTCATCTTTTTCTTCTTGAAAATGYGCCACTTCCATTCTAAAAACTTTTGCATCTTGGAGAAGTCGAATTGCAGAGAAAGCGAAAGCAACACTGTGATAAAGAGCAATATAATTTAAAAATACTAATTATACATGCCACTTAATGGGTTTATTAAAATAGATATTTCATTTTTTACTATGTCAGAGATGTAAATCAGCAGTTACCAATTTTTGATTCAGTCAAACAAAAATTGCACTCAGACTATTTTCTGAATTTGTATGCACTGCATTATGAGAGTGACAAAAGAGCAGTAAGAGAAGAAGTTTCCCCAATAACAGACATAACCTGACAGTATTTCACTGTTATGGTCATCAAGCATTGGAATAGGTTGCCCAGAGAGGTGGTGGAGTCACCATCCCTGGAGGTGTTTAAGAAGTATGTGAATCTGGCGCTGGGTGACACAATTCAGGGGTTTAGGGGTCACAGTGGTGCTTCTGGGTTGATGGTTGGACTTGATGAGCTTAAGGTCTTTTYCAACCTTGATGATTCCATTTTTCTGTGAATAGTATATAAGCTAGGATACCTCATGTTCTCTTGGAGCAATCAAAACAGAGCTCTATTATAACTTCCAGCTACACACAGAATCATGGAATCATTTTGGCTGGCAAAGACCTTTAAGATAGTGAAGTTCAGCTTTCAGATCTAGTCAAATCACTAGATCAAGACTAACCATGGCATTTCTGTCTTCAGGATTGATTTCTTAGAAATTAGAAGATGTAAAAATACTGAAAATGACAAGATATCTTAGGAGAGTTCTACATCATCCAAAACCAGGGTTAATACCTTCCTCCTTAAAATTTTCCGGGCTATATGTTAATCCTTCTTTTAAATCCACATGGTCAAATAGTCACAGGATTTTAGTAAACACCATCAAGGTGATGAGGAAAAACCTCATCAGTAAGCAATCACATGTCATTACATCCACTGGCCCCCCTGCCCCATATCCTAAATCCTTTTCTGGAGTTCACTCTGAACAGTACCTAGAAAGATACAGACACCATTAGGACTGGTACAGCATTCAACCRCACATGTCAAAAATTTATAGGCTTGGACCTCAAAATATTGTCAGGTTTCTTAAAAAGTTAACTACTGGGTTTTCATTTTTTGCTGTCTTTGAAAGCACTCAGATACATTCAGGTAATGGTCAATTTTCATTACATGTACAAAAATGTGTATCTATAGCAGCAGACTTTATGAATACAATTATTTTTATGACATGAAGACATCTGCAAAGGCATCATRGACAGAAGATCCTTTTCATAACAGGAATTGTTGGCCAGAGAACACACTACTCAAAATATGCTGAGAGCTGCCAAAATCAATGTCTCTCTGTATTGGTTTTTCCCAATTGTACATTTTCCTCTATGTCTGTAAATCTTTACTTTCCAACATCTTCTCTAAAACATTTTTGAATTTGGTTTTGGGGGTTGTTTGTTTGGATTTTTTTATAATTCCACAYGTTCATTGCCCACAGAAATGTTTTCTAATAATTCTAAACTACCAGAGAGTATCCCTATCTCACCACTTAAAAGATTTTTCAGCAGGTTATTTGTTTAAAATGTATAACCAAAGTTCTTATCTACGCTGCTTTTTATATAGAGAGAGACTCTCTTTACATAGAGACTGGCTATTATGAAGCATATGAAAAAAAAATAGAAAAGAATTATTAACACCTTGAAGTCCTTTTTACACTGCCAGAACAATGTAAAGAGCTTTTAATGCAAGAGRCATTCAGGGTCTGTGTGAATTTACTGCTTTTGAGATGTTCTAGACTAATGGTTGCAAAGGCAAAGATCTCGCACAAAGGAGTCTGAACAAGRGCTGCCCTACTTCTAAATTACTCACATTATTCTGTCAACATATGTATAACCACAGGATGGATAACCTCCTGTTAAGATAAGAGGGCAGTTAAAGTCTTCCTGTCATTTCTGATTCTATCCTGCTCACTGTTTTTGTGATGCAGACCTGGATGGATTACACCAATTCAGCACAAATAGACCCCAAAGTAACAATGAGAACCAAAGCCGTTAATATCTTGGCTTTCACTTCTCAGAACTCAATCCTCATGAATCTCCTTCATCATCCCTTTGCCTCAGTTTTATTCAACAAAATGAAAACAGAATAAATCAATGTTGAATTTGATGATGAGTTTCTCTCTAACGGAAAATGTTAAAAGCAAACAGACAATAAGGACAATGCAATTATATACCCCAACTGCTTTTCTTTTTTCAAGAGTTTCTCCCTGAAACCAGGCATCAAAGTTAAAATTACAGCAAAATATTACTTTTTAAAAATATTGGTTGAGTTGCTTTGTTTCACATATCTCAAATACATTGAAGAAGGTACAGCACCTAATAGTATATACAGGTTATTAACCAATATTAATCTAACTTCCTCAGCATCACTACCTCCAGTTAATGCTCTTGTCAACACTTAGCAATATTGAAAATAAGGCTATTTTAATCTGCATGCTTACTTATAAATTTCTTAAGTAAAATAAAGACCACAAACCCAAAGATTCAAATGTCTTGTTTTAAGCCACAATTTAYTCACCAAAGCAGACAAGCACACATTTGGGTAATTAGAAAGCTCAYAATCCTAGGATAGACACCATGTAAGTACTCTCCTTGAGATCAATGGGATTAGTCCTATACATAAACTTATTCTGAAGAATACATTTTTTGCAAGACAGAAGCTTGTAATGCAGAAGCTTCCCTTGATGAAATTTTTGTGACCCTCTTCTGCTGTCAACTAGAGTGATGTGTCTATGTATTTCCCTTGATAAAATACACATCCTTTTATCAGCTGAATCAGAAAGTGACAAGATGATCAAAATAGGAAAGTACAGCTGACTTTAACAATTTCACCACTAGGTCATTTCACCAAAGGAAAAAAAAAAGATGTATTTCTGTAATATCATGCAAAGTTTGATTTCTAGGCTGGCAGGCAGGAAACGTTCAGCTGTCTGAAGAAATGTTTCATTTGTATTGAGGTAGACATATCAGCAGTTTCCATGGCAGTGCAATAAAACTGCAAAATAGGTTAAAAAACCCCAAACCCTTACTTTGTTTTATGATGGCYTTTTTTCCTGCTACTGACCACTATCAATATATAAGGCCAACTAAACAAGCACCCATCCAAAATTGGTGAGTCACAAAAAATGWGCCATAAAAATGTTCGACATTCACTGAAATCCTTGATATTCTAAAAAAAGTTTCTTCAATCTGAGACAAGTTATAAACCAACAGAGAAACTAGTGTCTAGGATATAAACTGCATGGCAAAATGAAGGGTTCTGCATTGAAATGTCTTGCATGCACTGGAACCAGGTTTGCAGGGTGAGAAAGTCTGGGACAGAACTCTACTAATGCAGTATAATAATACTTTAGCAAGCCTAGCATTAATCATTAAGTTATGATGAGRTGACTGTTGAGGGATTGGTTGATTTCTCTTAGACAATTTATGGTAAATTAATCTAATTCAGAAGACACTGAAATAGATTTACATTTTGTGGTGAGAAATGTCCACAAATAGCTTACAAGTTCTTTATATTTTCACTATGACATTGCTGCTAAATGATTACAGTCCTRATATCTGAATTTTTGGAAAACTGCTTTATTTTAAAATAACAAACAAAACCTAGGTGAAAGGCCACACTGCAGACTGTTATGTTTCCAGTTCAGCAGTCTGTATAGCACTCTGAGGCTCCTGTCCTTGTTAATTTTATTTTTTTTTTATTGCTGTACCATAGCAATGCAAAAGAAACTGTGCTATTTTAAAGGCATAGATTTTGAGGTATTTTTATTCATCTAGGAGAGCTGAGAGTAGAATAAACCATTTTTTGTTATTTGGGTAAAAAAATCCCATTGAGACTGATCTATCTATTGGCCTACTGAACCACCTACCACCTCATCAGCAATCCAACAATTAAAAATATTCCAACAATTTAAAATAATTGTTTTTTTTCCTTTTCTTGATGCTTATTGTGAGATAAGATTTATTGTACCAATTCCAGTGTGTTTAGTTAGATTAGACCAAACAAAAATTACAAATACTGATTATATTGTACCAAATCTCAGTCTAGTCTGGCAAGTGCTACATCAGTGAATGCTGCATTTGTAGTTAGCAATTTGTATGCTTAAATATTTTTTCCTCTAATAAAATATTAGTTAAAAAGAGCTTCCCACTGATGAAATGATGTATTGTTAAACTATTATCCTTCCTGCACAAATTAATGGAAAATTATRGGTATGCTGGACAGAAGAATCCTCCTAGCTAGAAGACCAAAACAATATTTGGAACTTAAGATCTACAAAGAGTTAATATATTTCTGTATATCCAATATATTCAAAGAACATTACAATGGTAACTACATAAAGTACTCCAAAAGAAATCAGAATTAAAAAAAAATAAATTACAGAAATTAGGAATTTTAATTCGGAGAAAATACCAGACAGATATATACAGACATAYAGAGATAAAACAACAGTATTTTAGATGCTATCACTAACAATATAATGAATTATGCTAAAATCTATTCTTAWTTGTTAACATTTAGACCAATGCTTTTTAATCACTGTAATTTAAAAAGAAGAAATTGACATTTTAATTTGAAAGCAGTAAGTACATCAAGAAGAAATATTTTTTACAACAGAAAACAGGGCATTCTAGAATAAAGTAGAATTTAGTAGTTCAGAGATAATATTAGTTGTCTGTTGTACTCTTTGTAAATATAAGAAAACACAGCACATAGCAAATCCAGACTTAAAAACTATGAAGATTGCAAACTTTTCTTTGTTTTTATACATCACCTTATCACAAAGACATCTCACAGAGAAATCATAACTCATTCTCTGGGCCAACTGAATCTCTGGACCAGCAACTGATCATYTTTTAAAAAGCAAAATAAAGCAATAATAAAAAGAATAAATGCCCGTGTATCTTGCATTTGTAGATATACTAAAGGAGTTGTTACAGATGACTATTAAAATTTACAATATCAATGTARTAATAAAGAATTTTTTTTTAAACATTGGTGGTCAAGGCCTTGCAAAATATGGCTGCTCGTAGTATTACTTACCTGAGAGCTGCTTGATGCCTTTGGTGGGAAATAGAAGCAAGCTCAAGTTTGGCCTCAATAAGAGCCTCTAAATCTTCTGCAGAATACCGAGAAATGTCCCCATCATATTTCTCCTGTATGCTCTGTACAAGATGGCTAAGACTTTCTTCAGCCTCTGTCAATAAAATCCCCTAGAGAAGAAAACACAGTTGTATGATTTTAAAAAACAATTAAAGAAATAAATATTTTCTTTTGAAGTATTTTTTTTTCTGTTAAAGCCTGCTATCACTGCGCCTTAAAAGAAATCAACTTAAATGCAATATGMCTTTTCTATAAAGGGAGGGGATGTGTATTTAATTTTGCTTTTCTTAGGTTTACAGAACCATTGTGTTGAAAGCAGCAATATCTTAACTGTGCCTGTAATATTGCCGTGTATGCTTAACTACATATTTTAAGGCTTAGTAATGTTACTCACAAATTTCCCAATCTTTATCTAATAGCTATACTTGATAATTTTATACTATATTTCTAATTATACTTAGTAAATTTAAACAATAAAATACAATATTAAAAACATTAAAGATGTCAAAAGAAGCATTACATTTTTTACTAGCTATACTTTGACATATCCTTGTGTGCAATTTGTATCCTGAAATTCTATAATTTGCAGTATTTCTGATCAACAAAGCTGTAAGAAGCTGTGACAAACCCATGTCAAAAGAAGTTAATTTAAAAAAAAATCTCACTTGCAGAGGTTTCAGCAGAATTAAAAATTAATTTAAAGGTTTGTATCATCCAATATATTATTTTGATAAGAATTCAGAGCTGTACTAAAAAAAACCAACCAAACAACCAACCAAATGAACAAACAAAATACAATAAAAACCCCTTAACCAAAGAAAGAAACAAAGAAACAAAAAAACTCTTCAAAATAAAAGAACAGTTAAATAAAAATCAAAAGTGTAAGAAATATATTATGACTCTTAAATGAGCCCTATTCAATTAAATGAACATTTCTATTTTAGTCATTTTAAAGAGACTACTTCCAAGTTATACTGAATTTTTCAAGTTTCTAACATATGACCTATACCAATTGCCATATAAAATCATCCTCCATTCTCCAGATATACTTTTTGCATTGCTTTGCTTGTAACAATGGTCAAAAGCAGATACTTCCAAAGTGGAAGAGCCCTCTGAATGAAAAATATGTCAGCCCTTAATTTTGGTCTTTTTGTCATGTGAAACTGCCAAGCATAAAGTTTACAATTAAACAAAACAAAATCCAACCAAATAAACCCTCTTCAAACAAAGAACACAATAGCCTGTGGTATCTTTTCTCCAAAATAAAGTATCAGAAAGAGTAACATGAAAAAWTTGAGGTATTTCACATTTGAGAATGGTAGATAATGGTTTTCCATTTATTTGTATAACATACTGCCCCATCAAATAGTCTCTGACGTTCTACGGTGGCACCCTCTGAAAGGGGGTGATTTTATCTTGAAATCCTATTCAGTCTTTGCCAAAATAGTCATACCAAGATCTGATTGTGGAAATACTTCCCCATMATTTGAAAAATTATGCACAAAAAAGGAAAAATGATTGCACCAAATCATGAACACTTCAGGCACAGCTAGTAAGACTACAGTTAGATTAGAAACTGAAAATTCTAGTCTCCTTTTTCATACCATCCTCACATCAATAATTTCTGTTACAYTGAAGGCATTAGCAATGTTTTCAGATCTATCTATAGCTTTTTAATCCTTTTCTCCTAAAAATCAAAATTACCTTCAGCATGGCCATATTCAATTCATCTTTACAGTCACTGAGATGCACCATTGTGTCTTTTTGTTGTCCTGATTCCTGATCAGCATCAACTGTCAAATACATGATAAAATTTCAGATTATATATGCAAGAACAAAGCATTTGAAGAACTTTTTTCTCTATTTACATCCAGGACTTCCAACATAAAAATAATTAATAATGGAACAAAATAATAATAATAGTAATAATAGTAATAATAGTAATAATAGTAATAATAGTAATAATAGTAATAATAATAATAATAATAATAATAATAATAGAAATATTAGCTAAAAGAACCATAACAAACCTTAATGTTTATTATTTCAATAATGACTCATTTTTTTAGCAGCATTTAAAATTAATATTGTTCAAAATATGACATATTAATTCATAGTGGAAAATTCAAGTGGAAAAATCATGATTGAAACAATATAAATATACTTTTCCACTACCCTTATAATTACCTTTTGCATTCAACAATAGACTTCCGTTTGGCTCTGTAATGGTGTTGTTATCGACAAAATATACACTTTTTTCAACTTTTTCAGGTATATTATTTATTGTGGCAGAAAGACAAATGATGAGATGCATTTTGGCTAAGGTTAATTTATTCATAATTTGTTGGCTGYACAGTGGCACCATTGTTAAAGACAGACTCCAATTAAATAGGTCTTCCAGTACCTACAAGAAAGTTAATTGAAACTATTTGAAATTACTTGTTTTTACATTTTTCTTCCTCAAGACATATTCTGCTTCTATTAATAATGACACTTATCAAAAATTAACATGAAAAATATTAGTAATATTCTCAGTTATTATAAATGAGTTGCTCATTTTCTTTCCAGACTTCACCACTTAGTAGCATTGCTACAATSTCAAAGATTGGTTTTCCAGCAGAAGGTGCATGAAGTTATCGCTATTACCATTGCAAGTTCTAGTTTTCTGCATTGTAGGTAAATCTGTAGTACAAAAATCTGAACTCAAAGAAAAGTCTGTTGTTAAGAAGAGAAAAAAATTCWYGTTTCAGACCATTCTAGCATGTTTCACAGAATCTTTTTGTTATTCGTTATAGCATCCTTGTTTTATCATGAGTTTAATATTCTCACTGTAGATTAATAAATTTAGAAGTTGAATGTCTACACGGATTTGCAAAATCATGAGAACAGTAACAGCCCCCACACATACTGTGAAGTGTTCAAATCAAAAGCTCGAGATAATGCACAACTTCAAAATAAATCAAAAACTAGTGAGATCAAAAGCTGTCAAGATACACTTCTCATTTCCATCCTGTAATATCAACTGTTGTAGGAGACACACAAGCTTACTGCAAACAAAGCAGAGAAAAGTTAAGGGGAAAAGGTAGGGGTTTAATTTATCAACTTGTTTTAATGGTACAACTTTTTTTACCCCTACTACCTCAATGGATCTGTGAGAAGGTTAATAAAAGGAAATCATTACAACTTAAAAAAAACCACAAAAAAAAGTTCTTGATGAATAGGTGTTTTTAAATAAAATGAGAAAATGACTGTTTAGATCTGGTTTATAGAGTCACCACTTAATTTTTTTGTTCCCCCAGAAAAGGACTTCGACTCCMATTTGAATTAGGACAAATTCATGAAGATAGCTCTGATTGATAGAAGATATAGCATTAAAAGACTAACATTCTCAGTATTTTAGCACAATAAACACCAGGCCTTCCATATCCTAACGAAGCTGGAATGATTCTACTATTGTGTTTTCCACAGAAAAGCCACAGATTTGTAGATATTAGATCTCCCATCTGAAAAAYGGTGAAAATGCTAGTTGTCTTTCCTTGAGAGGTCAGCCATAAAATTTAAAATTTAGGAAATAGTAATYCATTGAGAAGAATATTTTCTATTTACTGGATTTTTAAATAATAACTCTGAATTGGATAATTCCTACCTTAAWACAGAGAAATAAAATTTTATATATAGCATAAAACCTTTGCCTTTCAGAWTTTTTTTACCTGCAAATTTGTAACAGTCAGAAGAGATTTTGAGGAGTCAAATTTCTGCAAGGCCTGTAAAATGGACAAAACGAAAAAGAAGTAATGTATTACAGTAAAAAATAAATTATTTAGTAGAGGTGGGAGGAGGAAAATTTCCCTTCAAATCAGCTAATTAAACTGAATTTGCTCTGCTTCACTGTCTATAACACAGGGTAAAGGAAGCAAACATGAAGTCGTGGAGGTGGGCTAGGAATTCTCATTTCTGTACCAGCCTATAACTATCACCAGACTAGAAATATCATACTATTACKTATGAAATGTGGATATACAACCAAGATAAATCCATGTTGCTGTCAAAAGGGGTGTCCCTACCTATCCCATTGGATTTGTCAGCTAGAGTCATGGAATCATTTAGAGGTTGGAAAAGATACTCAAGTGTAAATCATACACTGCCAAGTCCCACTAAACCATGTGCCTAAGTGCCACATCTAAGTGGCACATATTTTAAGWGCCATCAGGGACAGTGACTCAACCACTTCCCTGGGCAGCCTGTTCCAATCCTTGACAATGCTTTTGGTGAAGAAATTTTTCCTACTGAAGTTCAAGCTGAACTTCACCTGGTGTTCTGTCCAGATGTCTGACACACATACTTTGTCACGTCACCTACCCTAAAGCACCACTGAGATAAGGGAGATCTTGATCCCATTCATCCAGGATTAAATTCTAAGATTATTTTGGTATATTTTGGTATATGCTTGGAAAACAAGGAAAGGATGGTTATGGGGGAGGCTTGCCCCATAACCTGATCTGCCTGCAGAGGTATGCTCACAGTAAGCAAAAGYCCACATCAATTATTAACAGCTTCCAACCCGTGTAGCACATTAGTGACCAGATATAGGGAAAATCAAACTGACCTGGGGTGACATRACTGTCAAGGCTCTGGGGGCAGCAATAGCTTTTACTGCCCAGCATCTCCTGAGGCTGGACCCATCCTCCCCAGGGCCCAAGACCCCATGTCAGCTTCTGCCCCAGCTATGCCACAGCAGGGACAGTCTCGAGCTGCCTGCAGCCCTGTCCTAGCACAGACCCCCCAAGCTGTGCCCAGCCAGACCCGCGACCCTTTGCTGTCACCCTGGGCTGTGTGTGAGCCCCATGCCCCTCCCCATGCCTGACCCCACTGCAGGCTGATGTCCCCACACAGCCTCAGCCCCACACAGGTGCCACACAGGGCTGCCCTGCTCCTGGCTATAGCAGTGGGAACTTGGCCAACAAAAGGGCAAGAACGTTATGCATACTTTTCATGTCTGCATATGAAATYGTATGTTGTTTTTTCTACAGCATTATCTGCAGTAGTCAGTATATAAAACAGCACATATGCTTCAAAACTGATTTTTGTTCCTGCTGTAATTTAGTGAGAGATATTAATGTCATTCAAAACCTACTATTTGATCCATCTATTGAAACAAATTTAGGAATTTCTTAGGAATGTGTAACAACTTGCAGATATGGAATATGTGTGGTTTCATGCAGAAAATGGATGGTTAGAATTCAATCTTATAATTTTCTGGTGTTCACCTGTATTTGTTCAGTACATCTGTATCCTGCTGGTATTTTCCATGGAATTTTCTCTCCCCAGATAAGCAAAGACAGTTCATGAAAGGCCTCCGTAAAAAATCCTATATCTGTAAGTACTTTAATCTATGAAAAAAATAAAATAGCCTTTGATTTTAATGTTTTTCAATTATTCTTTTTGATCAAAATAAAATGTATTTAAAGGTAAGTTTCAAATAGATTTGGTTTCTGGAATAGTACACTAATGGAGAATGATCTTCAATGAAAAGAAATCTTTTACATATTATAGTGAATAATTTGAAAGATGGATCTTCCTCTTTTAAAAACAAATCTAAAACCAATAACAATTTGACTCAATACCAGCTAGATTTCTTAAAAAAAAACCCAAAACCTTCACATAATTAAATTATTTAAAAAAAAACAACAAAAAAACAACAATCAAAAAAAAATCCCCAATCAAACAGAAAGAAAAACAGCCAAAACCAACAAGTGAACATTAGTGAAAAGACAAAAATCTATTCCTAGATTTCATGTAACTTCGTTCTGCCATAATAATAACAACAACAACTCCAAAAGTGAACATTTGGGGGGRAAAAAATYATTCATGTTTTGCACTTGAGAAAACATTTAAAAGAAAAATGGAAGAAGATAAAGTTTGGACCAAAGAAAGAGAATCTCTTCATTAAATAGAGAGTAGAAAGAATTTATGGAAGCACTTAACAGCCTATGCAGGAAATTAATAGTAAAACTGTATAAATAACTGCATGCTACTAAAATTGAGAATAAAAGTAATAATTTCATTTAGAAAATAACTCTATAATSTGTTTAGGTAAGAAACACTAAGCAGCACTGAACTTTGAAGCATTACTTCTCATAGAAGCAATATATGAACATTAAATTTACTACATTTAACAAAGAAATGAAAAGTTTATTTTAAGTAAAATGTATTGTGAGAAAGAGAAAGTTTATTTTATTACCTTTAAAATTCTTCCTTCAATACATTTAATTGGGTCCTTACAAATCTCAGATACAATATATTGGTATAAAGTAAAGAGTGGCAAAATCTGTAGAAAAATAGTAGGTCATATAGCCATAAACATCATACAGGGTACAATTATGGAAATATGCATTGCAATTACATTCAAAATACATAGATAATACAGGATTGCTGCTTTGACCCTCACATACCATCCCTACTTGTTTTATGCTCTCTGAAAGATAAATCTGTTAAAAAGTTCTTCAGCTGGCTAAAGCTAACCTCTGATGCTATCTTATATGTGATTTACAATGTAGGAAGTGAAGATTGTCCAAATTATTCTTTGTGTTCAAGGTGGTGTTTCACCAAATAATTTGTGACTAGACCTACTGGAAATAGGTCGATACAAGGAGTTCCTAAAAGTGTCTGTATTTTGATGCCATATTTTTTTCAATATAATGAACAGAAGAATAGAGTTCTGTAAGCTTTTTATAATAAASACAATGAAGTCCTGCAACTGTCCAAGTGAAATGATACCAATTGCAAAGTAAAGTGGAGAGTGATGAGACCTAGTGACAAATTTATTTGCATTCATTTAAAATTGAATTTTTTGTAGGGACAGCTAACAAAAAAAAAAACATTTTAAAACTGAGCTGTATTAAAGTATAGAGGCCCTGGATATCCTTCCAGAATTTGAAGGGGTATACAGCAAAGCAGGAGAGGGACTCTTCATTATGAACTGTAAATGATAGGATAAGGAGTAATAGTACAAATTGAAAGAGGGGAAATTTAGGCTTGATATTGGGAAGAAGTTCTTTACTGTGAGGGTGGTGAGACACTGGAGCAGGTGACCCAGGGATTATGTTGATGCCCCAACTGTGCAAGTGTTCAAGGCCTGGTTGGATGGGGTGTTGAGCAAAGTGGTCTAGAAGGAGGTGTCCCTGCCCTTGGTGTGGGAGGCTGGGACTAGATGATCTTTAAATGTCCCTTCCAACCCTAAAAATTCTAAGATTCCATGATCTATTGTTATACAATATTGCAGAAAAAGCTGATTCTTTCCTAACGGATTTATGTGTTTATTGAAAATGAAAGATCTTCCAAAATTTAATTATTGTTCAGCTTTTACATTTTTCTTCACTTTAAAATGTCCCCAAGCTTAGAAAATGCTAACAGCATTGTTAGATTTTTGTCAAATTCACTTTAAGTTTTCATAATGTAGTTTAATACTTCTGAATTTTGATTACAAATGCTTGAGGCAAATGTTTTAATTGTACCCATATAGTTTCCTACYGATATTTGAAGTAGCTCAACAAAATTAGTCTTTAAAGTTTTATTTTTAATAAAACTTGAGTCTTGATGTATTTTGATTTAAGTGTCAAATCAACTTAGTGCCCACCATCCAAAACATTCCCACACAGTAAGCATTCAGTGGAAATGAAGCTCTCATCCTGCTAAAACTGCAATTGCTTTGACCATGATCCATGACCTGGATCTATATTCTGCTGGCAAAAGTGCAGCTAGAATCCAAATTGTGCATGGCTATGTGAAACAAGCAGTCAAATTAAGTGCTCCTGCCTCCAGGTAATTGTCTGCTCCTTGATTTCACTGGATCTCCCATAGCAAGGACTGACACAGCTAAATAACAAAGGTAAAGCAGGATAGGAGAGGCAAAAATGGGAGTTAGCCTGAAGCTGCAGAAGAGATCAATCCAACAAATGGCTCGCTGACAAAAAAGGTGCAACATCRTTCTACCTCCTCCTGTCTAGCCCCTCTTCAATCTCTACCTTCTAATTTTTCTTACTCCTCTGCTGCCAGCCATGGGACCTTTTCCCCTCCCTGGCACCGGCTCTGTCACTTGCAGGACGTTGCCATAAGTCAATTGAACTCATTAAAGCAGAAAAAACTGTTTCTGATGGAGATTTTTCTCTTATGCTTAGATTTCTACATTTCTGATTTACAGAGGTATACAATAATCACCTCACAGGAAATTCTGTTAGTGCATGCAGGACCAAACTAGAAAAGAGAAAGCATTGCATCTTTTTCAGTACTAGCAATCAATTCAATCTATTTATTCTAATGTATGACACTGCACCTTCCAAGGAAGTTGGATTAAAGTAKAAATGGTCAGACATTAAATAGAGGAAAAAAGAACATGAACAACATTTGAGGGAATTTGCAAAAACACTTCATACAGGCAAATAAGAGAACATGAGAAGGAGAAAGACAGAAGGGACTTTTATTTGCTGAAATTAAAAGTATTAAAAGCATTCTGGATATACTGCATTTAAGGTAATTCTCAGCACAGTGTAGTTTCAATTTTCAATATAATAGAAAATTTCCTCTAAAATGCCTAAGCTAAATGAACCATGTGTGGTCATTTTCCAGTGTTTTCTAAAACTTGTATGCAGCAAGCTATATCTTGCTCCAAGTGCCACAGAACCTTGCCATAGGGGTGTTTTGCTAGAGGTTCTGGGATATCTCATAAGTACACCCACACAGAAAGTAAGACTTAAAAGTAATTTCCAGAGTATAAAAATCAACTTACTATTAAATTTTGTTTTGCACAATGTAGTTCAAACATAATGAAATACAGACTTGCAACTACAGTAGAGATATCAGCTCTGTAGCGATCAGAGAACAGGTCAATACCAGGAATGAGAAAATTTATTTCATATTGTACAAAATCATAGTCAGATGTCGGATGTGGAAGAGATGATCTAAACAGGGTCTGAAAGTAATAACAATGAATTATTTGTGAAAAGATGTACAGGTGTTAGTGAGAAACTATAAACTCTGACTCATAAATGACTTCCTAAATGAAACTTCGTCAATGCCTTAAATATTCAGCCATTTCYAGCCAAAATATTGCAAAACATTTTTAGAGAAAATGCTTTACATGTGAAATTGATGGAGAAAAAATAAGCTGTAAATAGTTTAAGGACAGTATCTYTCCCATCATTTCTGGGACTTTAAGGCCAGTTAAAACCAGTTCCACCTTTAACTAGGTCAGGTAGTGCAGCTTATCAGCTAGTGCAGCTAAAATAATGTAACTAAAATCTAATATGGAATTTAATCGTTTCTGGGAGAGTTGCTGACTTTAAAGCCAGTTAAAAGCTTGTTTCATTCTAGCTTCACCTTTAACTAGGTCAGCTAGCATAGCTCAAATCATATAACTAAAAACTACTATGAAATTTAAGGAAATAATTTAAATGTTCTCTCTCAAAAAGGGAAGAATGTTAACATTGTATCTGATGATGTATATTCCTTCCCAATTGTATTTATCTTGGTATAATTAGCAATGATATGCTAGAGAAATTTACATTCACACTCAGATTTGAGATATTAACAAGCCTAAAGCTTACACCAGAGGTGGAATTTAAACAAGGTTATAAAAGCTTTTCTATTCAAGGAACAAATTGTGGGTTTGAACTTCTTGCAGTACTGTGACAGTAAYTGATTATATTTTTCAAGACAATCACCCTGCAAGCTCTTTCTATCCCAATTAATATCAGACCCACTTCAGTCAAATCACAATTATTTCTACCATTATACAGCTGGAACAAATGCTTACGACTATCTCTGKTGAAAGAAGGAATCACCATTGTTCAGCTTTGTAATTGTTCAGCAATCACAGTGCTAGAAGCAAGTTAAAATTCTCCTTTACYTTTGTTTATTCAACTGTTTCTCCCTTTGGTGAATTTAGTAAGTTTTTCCATGTGGTCTAGGACAGGTCTCAGTCACAATCATGATGCAAGATATTAGACAGTGTCATTGCTTGGTTTTGGAAGAAGCCAGATAACATCCTGAAGCTGCACTGGGATAAGTAATCATTGATCCCACTAGAGTATAAYGGGCAGAATACTTGCAGTTCTTTTTCCTACACTACTTTTGCTACTGGCATCTTAACTTCCATTTAAAAGTAAACTGATTTTTTTTTCTCTAAAGGTCTTTTTTCTGAAAATTTGCAAACTTAATTCTAATTATCTCATTTTCTTTGTAAGTGAAACTGGATCTTTTTCTTATCCTCTATTTTTAGAGCAAACTTCTTATAAAGCTGAGATTTTAGTATTGTAAATTAATATTTTTAAGTGTTAAAAAATATTCAAAAGTTTATTTTTTTCTAAAGAGTCTGTCCTCTTAGTTAAAAATTAAGGGCAATCTGTGAAGACTCTACAGATCTGCTGTTGTTGATGCCATCCAGCTCTTCCTGAGAAGAATACTTCAAGAGAAGAAAAATATATTTGACTGTCAAATGTTTTAGTCATCTTCTCTTTTCAGTATTTTTTCTCTGAGACACTCTACCCTCTTATTGAAGTGATAATTTTTAGGCTATAATACATGAATAATGTTAAAAAAAACCAAAGAATAAAAACATTGTATCTAATATGCATAAATTGTAAACTACCTTTGATCTCCATTTTTTGTTTACAACTAAAATGAAAAGAGAATTATTTTAACAGAGGGTCATTTTAGAAGCAATTTGTTAACTTCATGAATTTGAACTGAAATTGCATTCTTACCTTAAAAAGTATAGCAGAAAAATAGCAGTATTTTGTTCTTAATTTTATCTGTGATGTTGTTATATACCTAAAGTACAACAAATAATAAGAAATATGAATGTTCCCATCAATATAGATTATTGAAATTTTTTAGGTTTTTAGTCTAATATAATAATAATAACATTAACACAATCTGGATGTTTCCCCTACTGGAAAACAACTGCCTGTTCTTTGAATAGGTGCTCAGCCATTGCAAAGAAGCATTTGACCAAAGACACACCGAGAYAAAGGGATGTGTCTAGGTTAACTTCAAAGGTAAAGAAAAGACACGGGTGACCTAAGTGCAAAATCAATCTCATACAAAACAAAAAAGATAAAGCAGAATAAGCAACTCACACCTTGAAGTGATTTCTTTCCATAAAGGAAGCCTAGGTTAACTAGCACATGGATTTTCACATGGTAAGTATGTAGTTAATTTCATGATTCCCACACAGTCCTCATCAGAAGTAATCATCCTGGTAGAAGGGTAGTTCTCTGATCTACAGTACTAGAAATCCTTAATTCAAAATTAGAATCTGCATTTTACAGCCTGTGACTAAGTTGCTGCAGAAAGAACAACTCTAGAGAAAGATGTTTAAGAGTCCAAGTCAGGTCTAAACACAGAAGAACCACCTGAAGGAGAAGACAGGATGACAGCTCCCTCCAAATGCTGCCAAGATTTTAAACAGACATTTTAGAAACAAAGGGCTAGTATCCAGTGCAGTGAATTGGTGCCACAAACTTCTGTAAAAGCAGCTGGAGAWCTGGTCTCATCTAATTGGACCCGAGATTGAACCACGGCTCACAATTAGAACAGCTGTCATTTATGATCAAGTTAAACTCACTCTTTTTCCTTTTGTGTGTTAATTCTAAGTGTGACAATGCCATTTCATCCTGAAATACCCATGCTAACACTTGCAAAGCTACTTTGGCTTATAGATATTTTACAATGCTATTAATATGACCTGCTCCACAGGTAAGGCAATTTACTTGGATGAAGCTCTGCCCTTTCATGRTTATGGTGTTTCTAAAGTCATTTAAGGCTGTCTTGGTTATTTCTAWGTTTATATTTTGTACAATATGTTGAGGAACAGCTCATAATTCCATTCATAGTGTTTTACCAGCAGTCAAGGAATACTGGATGGAAATATTTATTGATGGTAGACTTTTATACAGTAATTCAAATTTCATTTAGTTCTAATTCACCAGGAAACTAGCAATTTAGGCAGTAAATATGCCCTCAAGATACGTTAATATTTAATATGTTCAATGATTTGGGAGATGTGATATTTTGATTGAAAATCAATATGACTATAAAATCCTTGCACTTACGACTTTTTATCATTTTCTTTTCCTTTAATGATCTCTCCATATAATGTACAGCAGCAATTATGATCAAAGACAACCACTCAAGAAAAGGGAAAAAATATTCTCCAAAAGCGCAAATTTCTTCCTGAAAGGAAAAATTCCCCATTCCCCTGCTTTTGATGAGTCCTTTTTATACCAAATCATTCTTGGTTTTTAATTAATTTCAAGTTGCCTCATGTCTTGGATGATCAATTTGTTTAAAATATGATAGAAATACATATGTGGATAAGGTACTTACTGAGCTATCTTAGCCACTAAGACTGCTGCATGTAAACATCCMCAAACTCCAGCCTGAGAAAGAAATTTCTGACTCATATCAGTTGAGCTTCCAACTGCAAAGCAGTCTGTAGCATCTTTTGGAAAACCTAACTCTTGCCAGGTGTTAAGGGCATCAGCAATGTTGAGTGTTTCATCAAGGGCTTGACACCAACATTTAAAAGCAGCTCTGTAACATAAAAAATACCATCAAATTGCTGACATTTTACAAAGTGGAAGATAAGACCCGCTCCATTTTTCAATTATTGCCTGAGATATAATTAATTCTGATTGGGTCAAAAACTAAAATACAGTTTCTACAACAAGAAAAAAAAAACAAACCAACAACCCATTCCTGGTCAAGAGACTTATTGAGACTCAAATTATATTATCAAGCAATAGACATTACTTCTTTAAAACACAGGTGTGGATAACTAATTTGCTTAACAGAAATTAGGTAGCTAAGAAAAATAAGCTCTCTTAAAATATAACTAAGAGTTAGATACAGAAGTTATATGGAGTAGAGGACAGCACAAGAACTTACAAGACAGTTGAGGTGTATAGAACTGCCAATTTAAAAAAATGAAACAGTGCTGTTTTTTTAATACCTTTTGTTTCCAGCATAGAAGTGAATATTTCCAAGTTCATGCAGAGCCTGTACCTTGAGGTCTCTCTGGTTGCTCTTTTCAAGGATTCCTATTATTTATTTTTAATCAATTGAAAAAAAATTGTCATATCATTAAACCAGTTACTGAACCTTGAACAAATTTTGCATGAGTAGACATGAATTTACGTAATTCAATGCATGAATGGGTTTTTTTTTAAATTTACTTATCTCATATATTCTACCTTCAAATGTACTTATTTCTTATTTCTACTAACTTTGAAAACAAAAGTTATTACTTTTGTATGTGGACTTGTTTACCTAATCTTCTGTATTTTTGTTCTTTCAGACCTCTCAAATTTCTTCCTGTTCAGAAGATAAATTGGAAAGCTGGTCATTGGCCCTGCTGAACAACTCTGCCTACATACAGCACAGTAGCTCATTTTTGGAACCCTTGCTGCAAATAAAACTACTCAGAGCATCTGTTGACCTACTACACTTGACTTGTTTGTCCGTACAACAAAAATAGGCAGTAATGAGGAGCTCTRAGTGTATGAGTAAAGCCATATTGAAATGTAAGATGGAAGCCAAGTGAGTAGGTCTCATATTCAAATGCACAGAATCTGAAAAGTCTGTTTTCTAGAAAAAAAATTGTCATGGAATTAAAATTAATCTGCTAAATATTACATCAAAGTCTGCATTGGGGATTAATCAGCATAACACCACTAAAGCAATGCTTTTTCATAAAAGGAGATAACTGTAGCGATTATGAGCCAACCAGTGGCCAGTTTAGGATCTAATGCAGATTTCCTCAAACAAGAGGAAGAAGGTTTATATTCCTGGAAACCAGCTTTCAGACAGTTACAGCTGTCTGACAGAGGAAAATAACAGTGGAATAAACATATATAAACACAGAAAGGCAGCATGTTATTASTTCTTAGCTGTAAGCAGAACTTTATGGAAAAAAATTACCTATTGTTTGTTCATAGGAAGAGATAATTACTGAAAGCTGTGACTTTGATATTGGTCTACTCTCAACCATACTGGACAAATTATATTTTTCTTGAGAAAGGTCAGACGGTGTTGGTAGAAATATCAGTTCACCTCCCATGTTAAATTTCAGCCTTCTGTTTGAAGACCTCTGACTGCTGATTACTCTTCCAGCCTTTTCTGGAGCAGAAAAGTGTTATGATACAATATGGTCAGTTTGGAAAAATATTATACTATTTCTAGCACCACAAATGTGTCAACACCACGTTAATCAAACAAACATACAATTCCTGTGCACCCTATTTCCATTTGGTTTCCTATATTATAATTCTGTGTGTCTCCTAAGTAAACTCATTGGACATAATTCATTGGTCAGTGTAACCAAAGGATATGTGCTCTGTTAGTGAAAATAAACTTGRGAAGATCTGCCAGTCAGTCCTCTGACAGAGCTACAGCTGCAGATGGACAGGTGACACAGCTGCATGAAAAGAAATTTATCACCCAATTATTAGACAAATCACAAAAAATAAAGCTTAGAGCTCATGCTTATAGAACTTCAAATTAAACTTCATATTGTTTATTTTTCTAATTGTCAATAACTAAAMCTTGAATTTAGAAAAATCTGTTCCTTTCACTCTTCACTCTTCACTATTTTAACCACATATACAATTTACTGAGAAACACTTCAATGAATCACTCACCTTGTGTGTGTGCAAGAAATAATGACAGTAATTTTCTGCTGTGTCTCAGTGCTCTGCTGTGATATTTAGATTTTTCTAGAGTTTCTCTGAAACATTTCAGTGCATCATTCACATCAAAAGGCACACCAACTAAGGCTTTTGCTTGATTCTGATCTAAAAGGAATTCATAATTATGGAGAAAAARTTTGTAATATATAAATAAATAATTTTAGTAAAGCAGCCTGTAAAACAAATTTGAACAATTTCAAAACTTCAAAACTGAATTATATTAAAACTTCCCCCTTTGTTTCCTGCTGGTTTATGAACTAAAGCAAATTATTATCCACCAGAAACATTAATTCTATTAATAAGAGCACTGATTTACACTAAATACTAAGAATATTGCTGTATATCCAGCAGTACTGACAGAAAACTGAACCAAGACCAYCAAGTTTCCTCACAGGCTGCAGGTCATGTGGCACCTGCTTTTCTCTGCTTTCAGTCACAGTCTGAATATATTGTGAAAGATCTTGACAATATTACAACCCGTCCAAAATATCAAGAACAACAATTTGAAGACAAAGTTCAGTTTATAGTAAAAGAAACATTGTAGAAGAACTGGATGAACTATGATAAGGAGGGGAAGCAGTTTTTTTAAAATCCAGTACGAAACAAAAAAAGACTTTGGGACAAAAGAGAACACACAATAMCGAAATGTACTCTGACCTGTAGAATCATTATTTGTTTCAGGATTGGAAAACCATCCAGGAAAAGTATCTTCACTGGCAGAATGGGCAATGGGCAGCTGTAATTTGTACCCTATGTAGTTTCTGCAACTCATCTAAAAAGCAAGTTTTGTTTCATGATAATTGAATAATATTAAAAAAAAAATCAATGTTTGGTTCTTATAGTTAAGTATCTATAAACTTAATAAATAAAATTAAAAGAGGAATAATTAACAAAGACATCAGTGGCCCATAACTAGCACTCTTGTCAGTAAGCGCTGAAACATTCACACCTAAATGYTGGATGTAGGTGTTTCGAAGTTACTGAACTAAACTTGTCTCTTATTTGGTATTTGCCATAATCATCAGCAACTCCTTGATGTTCCGCAAATATTCCACCTTTCCTTCTCCAGCTGAATGCATGTTTGCACAGAACCTGACACTGAAAGTGTGACTGAAGGGCTTGCTGCCTGGGAAATACAATGGAATGCTGCATGGGGAGATACAAAATAGCTCTGAGTAAGGAACAGCAGCAGCCTAACTCTGACAGAGAAGCGAACTTCCAGACTCCTACAAAGGACTAATGCAGAACAGACTTTTTACTTTGCTGATATACTTACATCACATCAGAAGCAGAAGGACCAACAGAGATAGTTCTAGGCTATCTGAATGGCATYGATTTAGGAAATGCAGACATAAACTCCAAATTTCTTACCTGAAATCCTTATAACAATTAACTAACATTAGTCTTTAATCTGTAAACTGTCTGTCAAAACTATGATTACTTTTCCCCAGCTCAGTTTTCAGTGTTCTGAATGTCTGGGCCTGAGAGAGTCAGCAGGAAACAACCTTACAGAGAGACAAGAAGAGCACCTCAGCTGCCCTGCCCAGCCAGGAGTGCCTTCAGAGTCCCTGCAAGCCCTGGGCACCTGAGTGCTGTCTCTAGGCAAGAAAGTGGCTTCCTATGTTCATGTTCATGCTAAGAACAAACCTGTTTGGTACTCCAGATCCCACTGCCTCCTCTCCTTCAAGTCCTCTCTTTATACAAGTAATAGAAACATCCAAAAAATATCCATAGTGAGACTGACTTTAGCAAAACTTTCTAGCAATAAATCTTAGATTAAAAAAAAAATGGAAAATCCTAATTTCTAAYAGCTAACTCAATGAAAAATTTCCAAGGGCCACTGTTAAGTAAATCTCTAGAGAGTCTTGGCTTCAAATGAGAGGAACTTCCTGAGCTGCTTAGGGGCTTTTTTTTGTTGGTGATAAATTTTTTTAAAGTTTTTTATTGTCATTGTCAGTGTTTGAGTTAACTCAATTTTATTAWCTTTGTTCTTTAGGAGCAGTGCTCCAAYGCAGAAATAAAGMAATCTTTTTATYTAATTTTAACKAATCAAAAGGATGCACAACATACAAATAAATGCTTTAAGGTTAAAAGAGTGGCATCAAGAAATAACATAAAATTAGATTTAGGCTTATAATGTGGAATGGGTATGTTGTGCATGGAAGAAATGGGTAGGTTGTGCGTGGAAGAAATATCCCCTGCATCATCTGCTGCTCTTGGAATCATGTCATACAAACCTTTTCATGCACTTCAATCATTACGTTCATTAATTTATTATAATTGACTATTTGGGAACACTGTGAAAAAACATACTAATCTAATCAGTGAAAGTGCTTCTGAAAGTTCACATTAAGAGCTAGTGACCCCAAAAGAAATCTGTTTCACCTTATGTGCATCATCAGACAGATATTTTGCGAGATTAGATTCTTCTCTGTCTGGGCCACCGAATTGCTCAATCCTTTCCAGCAGCTGCCTCTGAGAATAGATCAGCAATGGACTCACTTGTTCTGTGTACCTCTCACTGGAAAAAAAAAAAGCCCAAGTGTAGTAATCAAGCAATATAATGGTCCATCATGTTATTTTTTTTCATTTTCATTAGAGTTGGTATAACTTACTGTGTGAATATGTTAAATTGTACAGCTATGTGTACCAGTGCTTCCCACTTCTTCATTTGATACAACAATTCTATTGTTTTAAGGATCAGACTACATATCCATTTCATGTCAACCACATTCACATCATCCAGGGGAGGCTGGGGATKAAGATTTGAACCACCATTTTCATCSACAATACCTCCTAAACAACTGGGAATGCAAAAGTCTCCTTCGGGATTCACAATCTACAGGGAAGAAACATATTATACCTGTTATTTTCAAATGGACTTTTAGGACAAATCAATTTCAAAGATTAGGAAGTATGGTAATCATCTAAAAAACTTGTTGCAGAGAGTAACCAGGAGTTATCAGAATATAAAGCAAGAAAGAGAAAACTATCTCTCTAGTGAAGATGYGATAATAAAGAGTTGTCTCAATAAAAGTAATTTTTACCTTAAGAGAACTGCTTGCTTGTAGGTCGATTATCATATCAATAATCATGTCTGATGMAAAATAAAATGGCAACCAGATGGTGTTCCTAAGAAAATTCCAGGTGATGGGAAATCCACGCATATGGGAATGTGAACGGTTAGCAATCAATTGGAATTCTTGAGTATAGTTCCAAAGTTCTCGACAKGCATTTTGAAGCAATGTCCAGTGGCCACCACGGTAAGCAAGGACCTGTGTATGCCATTCAAAATACAATTACACCTTGGAAATGCAGAAATTAAAAGCTTCATTCTTTTATTGCAAAATTTAGGCAGTAAGTAACCTTTCAGAATTACAGTCTAGGCATTATAGAAGCTTAATTTTTAAATTTTCATAGAAGYACTAATTTTGAATAGAACTTCATTGTTGGTTTTGGTGTGAGAATAAGAAATAAAAATTAATTCACACCACTTATATCTGTGGGTTTAGAAGGGTTGATGGAAAGAGAAGTTAGTCTGCATTTCCTTTCAGTAACCAGTTCACCGGTTTCTAATGTAACATTCACTTAAGACCTGTAAAGGAAAAGGTAAATCTGCATGTATTTTCAGAAAAAAATTAACAAAAATGAGAAGGAAAGTTACAAAGATGAAATTATAAACAGAACAATTATATAAATTACTGTATGTTTGATAGAAACGTACAATACATAGATATATGTTATTATAGGTGAYATATCTGACATTTCATACATTGTACTTGGACATTTTTCAGAAGATGAGCAAAAATTGCTTTTATCCAGTGAATTTTTTAGAACTTTCTGAAGTGTGAGGTCTTTTCATGTAGAAAAGACAATTAAACAAAAGCTCAGTAAGAATAATAAAAATTCATTTGTTTAATAAGCAACAAACCACATCTTACCACTGCTCTTTTTAAATTCACGAAGATGCTTGTAAAATGCTTCAATAAAACTGAATTTGATGCAGTCTGGTCGTGTCCAGGAGATTGACTTCTTTTCATCTTGTTCTTAGGAGATTTATCTGTAACTGAAGACAACAAGTTCACTCATTAAAAGTGAGTTGAAGTTCTCAAAACAAAAGRAAAAGATCAGTCTGCTAGGATTTCCTGAGGCAGCTAAATACTTAAATGTTAGGAAATGCCAATGTTAAGGTTATGTTTGTAAGGTTATGATATTTAAAATATAAGATGCTTTCACTCAGGATTTGGGAGAATCCTAGGGATGAAAACAAATTTGAGCAAAATAATAATGAGTACCAAATAGTTTTCAAACTCAAAGAAAACACAATCCACAGCGATATCTGAACTACAGGTTTCAGGCAGAAGCTAATTCCAAACTATATAATATTTGAACTCTATGACAAGCTACACATTTTATGTAATTCTTTTAATCAGAATTGTTGCAAAGGCTAGGAGACAGTAAACAGGACTCTTCTCAGGTTTTAGCCACTTTCAGTGACTTGGTTCTCAGTGACTGGTAAGCATCAAGGCAAAAGTATTAAGTAAAAATAAGCTGTTGCAAACAGAACCAGTGAATTCAAGCACTAGCTCTTTTCACACCTTCTTGGAAAAGGCAAAAAGGATAGTTGCTTTTATCTAAGGAAGTCCTACATGGAAAGAAAGGAGAATTTTGATCTTTACAGCTGTGGCGAGAACATGTCCCTGAAGCGCTACTGAAAAAGCCAGGCCTGTGACTACTTCTTGAACTTCTGGTGCCTAAGCAGACTACTTTGTGTTGACTTTGATTTCCTCAGATGTTACTGAGAGCATACAGGTCTTGAATTTCCAAATACCCACAGACAGGAGCCTTTTGGCTTCTGCTGAAACTTCATGGGATGTTACTGAAAACAGCTACAATAATAAAGTAAAATGTGAAAGAGAAATTAAGCAAAAGTCATAGAAAATAATTTGGTCCTGAGGTAGCTTCTGACACAGGGAAACACTCGGGAGAAAGCAATAGAGAAGGAAAATTAAATTCTATTTAAAATCTGAAGGATAATGAAAACTCTATTCTATAACTTTAAAAACTACTTACAGAATGACCTAGGAAATTTTTGAYCTGCCAGGAAATTAGCAACCAGTTACAAACCTCAGAAATTGAAAGAAATAATCAATGCTTTCAGAATAATTTGCAATATTATAAATTTAATATGTCTAGGCAGTGCGGTATCTGCAAACTTAAAGGCAGCATAATTAATTTTTTTAAACTTACAAACTTGTTACTAAAGTATAGTATAAAGAATAACTAATTGATAAAATGTAACATACTTATTAATAGCTTAAACAATGCTCATAATTATTAGATATGCTCTATCATTTAGTATAACTTCTGATATATTATGCATGCCAAAAAAATAGAAATCTAGAAATGTCTTCTGTTAACTTGGTATGACTGACTATTTTTCCAAAGATGATGTGGAGAACCAATGAGGGATGTAAAGATAGACAGAAATCAAGAGAAAGAAAAAGTTAGGYTGAAACTGATTTCAGTTGTGCACCAAAGTTCTTACAGGCTTGGTTTTCAGTCATTTCTGCCTTTTCAAGGAGAAGAGGAGGTGGTTTTCTTATGTCATCCTCTACAGATTCTCTCGCCACTACAGTGCCAGAATTGTTTAATGAGAATATCTCAGGATCCAAAATATTATAMCTGCAGAATGGGAGAAAGAGAAGARAACACAGAAAAAAAYCCAGATACTTGTTCAATACATAAGATACAAAATATAATTTTGATCTACACACACAACATTCAGTTTCTCAGAAGTGATTACTTTCCARCAGCTTTAGCAATCAGAAGTAATGAATGATAGCCAAAGGTTATAAGCAACCAAAAAATAACATAGTATAKTATATTTCAAAGCTTTCATTTCACCAATCAAGTGAGCAACTAAAACTGTGCTTGATATCCACATGATGAAAAGCAAAACTTGTTACATAGTAACAATAAATTGGCATTTTAAAGCTGAATTGTTCAACTGACAGACTGACAGATATATTGCAATTCAGATCGGTCTGCATTAACAGCAATAACACAATAATCTTTATTAGTAGCAATCACTGAGAGTGCAGTAAGATATACCTGTCCAGATGCTGTGACCCATTAATTCCAATATTATATTGCTCTTTCAGGTTCTTTTTAAATAAGTGGTAGTGTGCTGCTGCCAGATAGATATTCATCTGAGACCTCCAGGGCATCTCTTCAAGACACATGTGACAAAACTTACTTCGGGTTACRTATTTACTCAGCAGTTTTACTAAGGTTTGATTAGCTAATTTTTTCAACTTCTCCTTGACTTTCCTAAACCAAAACATATGAATTAGGAAAAAATGAAACTCTGTTTTCTTGAACCTCTAGAAAATAAAGTCTCAGTAAAGATACACAGAAGTATSCCATTGCATATCCACCAGCTTGTATGGATAAGATGAAAAGCATATGCCATATTCCTAACAGACTTTTGCTTTAGTCAAGAAAAGCCACTGTGCTTTCCCTCTTTAAGTGCATTTAACACACAATAAATCCTATTTTATATTTTACCAACTTCCATAAGATCTTTGTCTTAGTACTCAGCAAAGTTTAGCTCTATTTGAACTTAACTGCACCTGAATCATACAAACAGATTATTACAGCAAATACAATGTGCTTCAATCAGTTCATGATGGTTTGCTATTACAATAAACTTGAGTAATTCTTTTTTCACTTTGCTTTGGTAGGTAATCATCCCCAATACAAAGAGAACATAGTATTTCAAATCTAGATGCATTTAATTTCCAGACACAGCTTTTCTAAGTTCCTCTGACAGATGAAAATATTCTGTACTACCTCACAAACATACAGTGCTATATTCAAACCAAATATCTTTTTTCTTTCAATAACTGCAAACTGATCCCTTTATTAATCTAAATTCTTTTTTCTGCCTGTTCTTCCCCTTTAAAATGTAGGCAGAATAGTATACCATATACAATTTTGATTATATTATTCAGCATTACTAATATGTAAGATACAAAAGTGTAGGTGAAAAAATCCCAGGAGAGGTTTAACATCCCCTCTTATGCTAAAAGCAATGAAAATTTCTAGGGTTTTTTCCTGTCAAGGAGGAAAAAAAAATGAATGGTTTATGTGAATATCTAWGAGATTATATGGAAGAATTTTTTAGCTTATTTAAAACACTTCCAGAATCAGCTATATGATTGCTTGTAGGAAAATATGTATAGTTTTCTAATTGCTAATTGCTGGAAGCATAAGTGACCAAAGGACCAAGTAATGAGCAGTAAGTATTAYTTTAGGTCAGAAGGCAACGTCATTTGCAAGCTAACCAAATATAAACAAATACCTGCCAAAAGAAGAGGTGAATGAATATTTTATTTTTTTAACAAGGAACAGTTTTCTGAAAGCTACAGAACAGATAGTCCAAAAAGAGTAGCACAAGGTTCACAAAAATGATTCTGAAACTACCTGAACATCAGGAAATAATAKTTCTTATTAGCTTTCTAACAGGTAAGCCCCCAATACAGTTAGAMAAGCATTATAATATTTCACTTTTGCTTTTCCATCTTGATGAATCAACATTCTCACGCTAACAGAACTGAAATACGATCTTTGATTATTAATACAAAGACTTGAAATCTTTAAGAGCTACTTCCTGAAACAGAAATGCAACAGATTTTGTTTCCTTGAGTGGAAGCCAATTTTATACTAAACTAAATAAGAAAAATGAGAGGATTGTCCAGAAGTTAATATCTTTAATATTAAAAAGAGTTAAAATACATACTTAATTCATATTAAAATACACACTTAATTGTAAACTAAATTGCAGTCAAAATATTTTTTTTCTATAGGTGAGCCTTGCAACAGTGTTCACTTACCTTTGTGCTTCTATAGAAGTCCTTACATCCGGATTTTTCAAAAAATATTCTCTAAGAGGTCCTTTTTTAGGCAAGGCTTTTTTTGTTCCTTTCTTTGGAGTTGATGGCTTTGATTTTTTTGAAGCTGAGGTATCCCTTTTCTTTAAAAAAAAAAAAAACTTGCATTAAAACCTTAAATAGACTTGAAATACTTATTTATACATTATCAATTACTTGAGGTATAGAGCAGTTTGGCTTATGTAGGAACAGAAAATGTAAAAAATAAATTCTGGAACCGGTTGTCAAAATAAGAATGCAAAATAAATACTTACAAATTCCAGTAAACATCAAAATTTTCTGGAAAGTACATGTCAAATGCCTGACACAAAGAAGGCAGCCAGGTCCCTAAATATTTTCTTTGATATACCAGTGTATTAATTGCATATATAATGACAGGTCTTTTCCTATTATTAGAAATAGTAAAACTTYGCAATGCAAAAACGAAAACGGAAAAACCCTTTCCCTAATTTATCTCAGATGCTAGCAGTATTACAACTAGAGGATTATAAGGGCGAAAACTCTTCTTCCAAAATAATACAAATCCATTAAAATTATTTGCATCATCCAGTAAAGTAAAAATTTATTTTAAAGTAATTCTGAACAAAAAGCCTTTATTGCACAATTAGCATACCTGCACAAGGAGTTAACCATGAGCAATTACTCACAAAAGTGTGTAAGTACATGTTACACAAAAAGACCTGAGTTTATCTTCTTTTCTGAATGTGATTGTACTCAAAGCATTTCATATTACCATTYCTGTTTTAACGGTAGTGAGGAAAGGCAAGTTTCCATTGGTTTTGGAATGCATTATTCTGACTCATCTCAAATTCTCAYAATTATTGGTGCTTCAGATGAATCCCATGCCAGCTTTTCTTTCTGGCTTTAGGAGTGCAGAGGTCAGCTGAGAACTAGAGTTTGTATCCCAGATTTTAGCAACTGTGGATGTCTCTAGCTGCGGTTTTTATGAGACAATTCTGAAAAATTTATTTTTGTTCTTATGGTATTGTTACTCAGTAAAAAACACACAACTCCTTAAAAATAAAACTCACATTCTGAATGAAAGATTTTGCTTGCATTGAAATTCCCTCAGCACCGAAGAAGCTCTCATTCCTCCTGATAAACAAATATTATTAAAATCATCATCATCATCATCATCATAACTTATGATGTTTTGATTATGTTAAACTCCTTTCATAGATAGCCTTTTGGGAACATATAGAGCACATGAAATTCCTATTTYATTTCCACTTTTAAATTCAGAAGATTTTCTTTTTTTCATCTTCAGAAAACAGGATGTGGTAACTTTCAAGGTTTATTATAGAAATCTGAACTTAGAAGTAATAACTATATTGCCTTCCTAATGCCTAGTAAAACATAACAGTTTGCTTCATTACCCAAATTATACTACAGAATTCTGCAAAGAATTTCTTCATGTCCTATTATTTCAGTCTCTTATAACCGCTATTCCTGTTCCCTAAAATATGTATCTCATTTTCATTATTTTCCTTTTGTTTTTCAGAAATACTGGTGTGTTTTTTTTTTAAAATGGGATCTTTTTAGGTAAGTATCTACAATGTGTATCCATTTATCTTTTCTTCATAGAATTTTTTCTGACATTATAGTAGGCCCTGATCAGTTTGCTTTTGATTTAACCCAGCACACCTTCCTAAGTTATGCCACCGCCTCATAATAATAAGGCAAATTGCCATATATTATGTCTCCATGTATAATCAGGTCACAATACAGTATTTATAATCCTCTGTGTTCATGGAACTTCTGCAGACTAGGAGTTATGGAAATCACTACTGATGGGTGTTCTACCAGATAAAACTTAGAGTTCCTTTTGCAACTGTGACTCATGAGCCTTAGTAGTCTTTCACAACTACTATAATAGAGATTTACCTTTTCAAGAACAATCGCACACTGTCTGTCCACTCCAGAAYAGACTGAAACTTCTCTTCATTCAGGACTTTTTGCAGAAGTAGAACAAAGAACTCAAGGAAACGTGATTGCCCTCGGAATTTAAGMACTGCAATAAAGTAACAATGCAGGTGTTTATGCTGCAATAGGATTCTGAATTCAGCTCCARTTACAGCTATGTATGTCTCAAAGCACATATTTATGTCATGTTGCATACTCATACTGACACTAAAACCAGGGATACGCAAAGGCAGTTGCTAAATGCTTCTTGTGATCAGGCGAACAGAATCATAAGCTCACTCTAATACACTCCTAGAATGACAAACATTCTAGGGACAGAGATTTCTTTTAAATTTACCTATTTCTAAGATTATTCAAAATTAAACATTATTCCATTTAAAATATTGATATTTTATAYACTTAGCATCAACATCCCAAATAATGGGTTGCATTCACTTCTAAATGTCTTTATACTGACAACTTTTTATAAGCTATGTTTCACTTGATTTTGTATATTTGAGAACCAGCATTTCCAAGAGCTTATTCCRAGCAAGAATGAGCTAGATTTACTAGCAAATTTCTGAAGTAAAGCAGCCTTTACAATTAAAAATAACACCAATTATCCTACCTTCTTGATAAGCACGTTCTGATGTCCAACATAAAATTACAGGGTAGAGTAGCACAGGATTGTCCAGTCCTGTAAGCTGTGATCCAGGACCTACATCAAGAACCAAATTAAATCCATTATGAAAAACAGGGAGAATATACAACGGAAACTCCACCTGGGACTGTAACTGAAGATTTAAAAAAATCTTCTCTAGCACAGTTTCTTTTAAATCTCTCACTGTCACCCAGAGAGAAATTCAAAAGCTTGCTCTTTCCTTCTAATGTAAGTGGCTGTACAAATTAAATAAGAGCTTACAGRTGTGACTGATGAACTTTCAGCCACTAGACTAATAAAAAGGATGTCTGGGGTTCATCAGATGTCTAACAAAGATCCATGCAAATCATATGTGGAGGAGAATATGCAGAAAGGACATGCCAAAAATGTGTTTAAGGCTATACAACACAAACTGATCACACRATACTACTATTRACTAGTGCTTACATTCAGGCTCTGCATAGATAGCATAAGTAGGTAGAGGATTTTTTTCTTAACCTAATATTTACAGAAATATAATTATAGAAATTTATTTTTATCTAGAAATAATAAATATTTATATAGGTATAGATGTAAATAATATATAGAATTTCATAGATATAAATAATACAGAATATATAGGGCAATAACTTGGATTCAAGCTTCTGGCAGTTAAATGCAACCGCATTGCCAGCTGATCAGCACCAAAACAAGGTTACATGTGCTACTTGTTATTTTTCCTTAATAAAGAAACACGACCTACAAATTTTGTGCTTAGGCAAGTCCTTTTTGTGCTTAGGCAAGTAGTTGGAAAACATCAATGCAGTGAACTCTGAAAAAAGCAAGATTAAAAACACACTAGTTGTAACCAGTTGTAATAATAGCTACAACCTCCTGAGAGAACAGTCAGTTTAAGTCTGTTGAATGCAAATATTGTTCAATTAAACAGGACAGCCAGCAGGAAAAGCAGACTTTTAAAAATTTCCTTTTTAGGACATTTTTGATAATTTTTCACATTTGACAAGTTCAAAAATACGTTGTTCCAAATAAGTATTTTCACAAAGCAAAATATGTGCCAGAAATTCTTAAATGGGAAAAGATTTGAAATTTCAGAATTTTAATTGTACTGTTTATAAAATATTTTGGTTTTCTCTTGTTTCRAAAGAAGCAGATTCAACTCTTTTCCATTTTTCTGGTACACTATCATCAATGGAATGCTAAGTGTTGATCCAATTATAAGGATTTCCTATTACAATTCTTTTTCCAAAACATTTTTAACAGCATGACCTACAGTTGTGCTCATTGTTCTAAACCATTCATATATGTAAGGACAGCTGTAAGCCTTCAATGACCTCACCAAAAGGCTTCTTCTCAATTTGTATGCTGTAACTTATTGAGAAGTAGCCTATTTCAACAACAGAGCAGACTTTACTGGTCAATTATTTGCCAGATACTGAAATGTGTTTTTTCTAACTGATCAATTCATTAATTTAACTTTCTATTAAGTAATCCATGTGACTTTCAATTGACTCACAGAATTCCTTCATTATGTAACTTGTTCTGCACAAAAGTAAGCATCAATGTGAGCAGCAAATAAGGATTAATGCACAGATTAATGGAATTTTTCCATCACTCCTTATCCTATTTTTTACAAGAATGCTTTCTCTTCTGAACAGGTGCACATACAGAGATGATGGATAACTGGGCCGTGAGTCATCAGTGTGGTCTTGCAGCAAAGGCCAGGTGCATACTGGGCTGTGCTAGAAACAGCACAGCCAGCAGGTCAAAGACTGTTCCCCTCTATACAGCACTTGTGAGACCACATCTAAATTACTGTGATGTGTTTGCCTCTGGACACTGACATAGTGGAGTAAGTGAAGAACAACCAAAATGAGAAGGAGCTATAGCACATGACAGCAAGAACAGGCTGAGGGAACTGGGTTTACTCAGGAAGAGAAGGTAAAGAGTAATCTTCACCTACCCAATAGGACTACAGAATGTGGAGACAGACTGTCCTCACTGCCAGCCCAACAGGCAATAGAAATAAGCTGGAAATCAGAAAACTCCAAACACATATAAAGAAAATCCATAAGAGTGGTCAACTATTGGAACAGGCTGCTCATAACAGTTTGTCTTAGGTTGATGTTGTGCCAATCCTGTATTCCTATATTCCGTCAGCTTGTATTCCCAAAAGGTGCCTGTGCCTTTAAACCTGACCCGGAAGAAGGGGCAGGGGTGGCGCGGGCAGTTTAAAAGTCAGGGCTGCCGCGCAGCCGTTTGCTTTTTGAACCTCAGCATAAGCACTGCAGGAGTCCTTGCTTGCTACATGCAGGGGAGTTAGCTTGGGCAAACAGCTTTCCCTGGACTGCCACCCCTTCTGCGGCTCCTGTGATTTTTTTTCTTCTGGAGCAATTCAGCGGCCAGCGGGGACAAGCGGCACTGCTCTGTCTCATCCCAGACTCCAGAAGAAGCCAATCTGGTGACAGAAAAGCACACCGAGCCCTGTTTCATCCACAGTGAGGAAAGGACTATAATCAGGTTTTTCCACTGTTGCCCAAGCGCCACGTGGACCTTTTTTTTTCTTTTGTTTCTTTTTTCCCAGGGATAGGAGCCACCATCTTTTCTCCGCACCACGTGGCTGAGCGGCTGTGGGGGGAGCGAGCAGCATGCGTTCCTGGACTTTTAAATATCCAACAGTTACTCAGTTTCTTTAATCTGTGTCCTGTGGGCACCTTGTTTTGTTAATAAACCATTTTTCTCTTCACTTTTGCCCAAACATCTATTTTATATTGGTGGGAAAAAAATATCAATTTTTTCACTTCAGATGAAACATTTACTCTGTAACATTTTTCTCTGAAAACATTGTCTCAAACTGAGATACTGTTGCAGAATCTCTTTCTTCAGAAAGATTAAAAACGTGAATGGCAAGCTTCAGAGTGACCTGATCTAACTGCACCTGTTTTGAGAAGGGGGTTGGAATAAATACCTTCCAGAAAAGCTTTCCAATCTATACAACTCTATAACTCTATCCAGCCTCCAAGGAATACAAGATACCACATAAATATAAAGGGAAAAAATCAGTAGTGTCTCTGAGTTTAAGTTCTAACCAAATTTTATTTATGATTCTAACTTTAATTCATCTAACTTTGGCAGAATTATTAGGCAGAAAATTCTTGTTCTTGATACAGATTCTATGATATTTTAAAATTCATATATTCATTCCTGAGTTAAAAAGTAGTTAAATACTAGCACGCATGTAATTCCTTCGCAAAAAGGACAATTTCTGTTAACTTTCTTCAGTGAAAGTTTTCTCCACTAAAATTTCCTGCAATGGTCATTAGTACTAGCATGGGTAGAGTATTAAGACAAGCTATAAATGCACAGTAGTCTTTGCCGCTGTGTTTTCTAATTAAAGAAGAAAAAGAAAGCTTAAATAACATGGAATCCAACTTAATAGATTGGGCAAATGTATATTTTTGTAGAATTGTGCACAAATTAATATTCCTTTGAAAGAAGAAATGAGTGTTCCACTGGAAATTAAAAAAAAAATGAATACACACATCACTACCACATGATCACTACCAAGATCATTATTGCTTGGTTGATTCATCATGGAAGATATAAGAACTAAAAGTACTTCTTCAGTAAATGTTTTTTTAACAAATAAACCACAGATAACTCCATAGAAAAAGGTAAGAAATGTTTCAACAGTACACCCACCTGGTTCTGTCAGTTTGAGGAGACTTGATTCAAGAGTACTCAGATTTTCTGTTGCTTTTGCCCTTGCAGCTAAATGGGATGTCCTTGTGGAACGGGTCTGAAATATTGAATATTTTGTTATGAAAGCTTAGCTTAATTAAATTAACTTAATTAAAACCAGCACGTCAAGTGCAATTTAGCTTAGACCCCAAGTCTTCTAAATCTATATCTTATMATTTCATCAATATTATTTTTMTTTTCTGATGAAATAAAAATTATGCTCATGATAGCACAGCATATTTTGTCAAGCATGAGGACTATCCATGTCTGGAGTTGTTCATGACCAGGCTGGATGAGGTGCTGAGCAACCTGGTCTAGTGGAAGGTATCCCTGCCCAAGCTGGGGGCTGRAGCTAGACGATTTTTAAGGTCTCTTCCAACCCAAACCATTCTATGATTCCAGTATAAAAAAAAAAATAAATCTAGTCTCCAAAATAATGAAACATACAATTCAAAGAAAAGGTAAAAATTGGAGCAACTACTTTTACCTCTTTGCCAGAGTGTGTTTCTTCAGTTTTCTGATCTACTGASAGGCTGGGTGAAACTGCTGGTGAGTCCAACAATTTTTTCCCATAGTTAATGATAATTACTGCAAGTTCATACTCTTTCCATGAATGCAGTACCTATTGAAGAATCATCTGTTATATATTTTTTTGTTTACAGAAAATGTARTATTTCATTACTATCTACTTATAGTTGTCAAAATGCATTAATATTATAAATAGCAATTACTCAATATGCACATTTCTTTTAATATAAAAACCAGGACTGTAGACATGTAAAATAATTGGAATTGCAGATATGTTATCTGTGTGTTCTACTTCTGCTTAGCCTATCCCTCAGAGAATAGAAAGATTTACCCAGAAGTATCTATTGCTGTGATTGACACTCTCCCTGTTCCCAGGCAGAACTCCTATCAAAGAACATAAAGGGTAACTAAATGATCCTCATTTACCTCCCTGGTACCAAGCTGCACATTTTAAAATCTCAACTGTATAAGTGAAAGGAGTGGTGAAATTTATTTTTAAATTACAAAATGCAGAAATTAACAGTGTAGTGAATGTTTTCAGATGGCTTTATCTTCTTTAGATAGAGCTCTGTTTTTAGATGGCTTTATCTTCTTTAGATTGTGCTTCTACTGTGTGCAAGCTGACTTCACATTAGGACCTTTGCCTTTGTGATACCAAGTGTACAGACTACCTTAGGATAAAAACAGTACATGACCTGACAGAAGAAAACCATATACCATGGTTTAATGAGAAGCATTTGCAATTTTTTTCTTCTCTCTGCTATTCTGTATGCTATCCCATTGAAATGCTACCTCTAACTAAAAAAAGAATCAGCAATGTAAGTGATAGTGAGTTAGCTGAGGAATCCAACAACAAACAAACACTTAATCAAGATTTCAAGGTTCCTAATAGGCTTTATTAGCCCTGATAAGGTTCATCCACACCCTATGCCTGTGGGGCCGGAGCTCCCTCTCAGCTCAAATCTAAGCCTAYAGTTCCTGCAGGCTCCTACATGGTGGGAATGCTGAACTCCAGCTGGATCCAAGCTGTGCCTGGGTATGGAAATGGATCCACCAGACTGGGCACCTGGCCCATGGACCAACTTTTGAGTTTGACCTCAGACTGTTCCCATCATGATGGACCAGCCTGCTGGGCTCTGTCTTACCCTAACCACCTCACCAGACCTTACCCTGACATGTGGACTGACTTCCCAGCTTCAAATCTGACCTGCTTCAACACCACAGACTTGCCTGATARTCKGGATGCCTGGCTGAACCTGACTACYAGGTRCTGTTCTCTCAGCCATGGCACTGTGCTTGGCTCCTGGCCTCACAACAATTCAGAGCATTTTTAGGCTTATTTGGTACTGATCTGCTCTTGTGAGGTGAGCACAGAGATTCAGCTCCTATAAAGACTGAGTTGAGGAGCCACCAACATGGGGGAGYCTCTCAAATCTTTAGCCATAGCTCAGCTTCAGTATAAGCACTTAGTTGAAGTGCACTCAAAGCTAGAGGAAGGCTGACTTTTTCACTTTTTATCATGCATTTATGATAGTGAGTAATTTAACTGTAGCATATCTCTATATCTGAGGAAAAAATCCAGTACCATATTTCTCCTTATCTCACTAAATAGATGGAGTATCTAGATCATAAATGTCATCTACAGAGATATATTATGTTTGAAAGTTAAGGTGTTTTTATTCCTGCCAATATACAAGACTAAGCAGTATAAAGTCTCTTGTATCTAATTASCAACTAAAACAGATATGTTAATCTGATTAAAATTATGGCTATGGCTTATTTGCTATTTCAAAACTTATATTACATGTACATCTTATTGAAAATAGTACTACCTTAAATGTAAAAATGCACACAATGATATAAATAGTAGACTTGATGACATGGACTAATAGCTACTATTTTCTGAACAAATAAATATTAAAAACTCAAAATGTTATTATAATAAATTCACTGATTCAAATATACTAATAAATACTTGTGTGCCTTTAGTATTTCAGAATGCTGGTTCTCCAACTTAACATTCTGAAGGTCAGCTTACTAAATCWCTTCTTTTTCTCTAAATGACAAGAGCTATATCTCAAATTAAGCTGTAAGCACATCAATACCTTTGCTGTATGAAATGAAGTACAAGCTATCATATGCTGAATACTCTCGTAACATCCTTCCTGTGTCCTTTGCAAAATAGCACTTGGGACTTCTTGGAGGACAGCCAAGCATTTAATGAGGATCTGTAAATACAAGGGTTAAAACAGTGTTTGGAGTCCGGAGCTTACTTCCAAGCTTGTACGTCTGTACATGGTCTATTGTATTTGATGGCAAACTTTAAAAATACTTTAAAATCTAATGAAAAGGATGAAACATTAGCTCTGGAAATGCCAATAATAAAATTTCTATTTGATTTAACAACCAAGTTAGATTTCAACCACAGCCCTTTGGAATAAATTACATGTTCACAAAAAATCCCAGATATTAAATTATGCATACATGATGGATATTTCTCCTCATTTAATTAACATGAAATCCAAGAATGCTTAATTTAGCAATATTACATAATCCTAGTGGAGGTTTGCTTAAAAATATATTGAGATGGTCAGAATTTCAAATGAAAGAAAAATATTTCCAGTATGCTGTCAAAATAAATATTTTTCCCCCATTTTGTCTATCAGAYATGAAAAGAACATGTGGCTAAATTATCTTTCACTTTAATCAAGAAATCTTAAACAAGAGCCATTTCCAGCGGTTAGCTGTACCTTTCGAAAAACACTACAGCCAACTAGATGTTAAGGAAGAAGTTATTTCTGTATTCAAACAGATGATTTTTTTTCCTAAACATTCCTGAAAACTTCTTAGGGCCTTAAGTGCCCCAGTAAKCCTTCCCTGAGCATCCTCACTTGAGACCTCCCCTCACATCCTCTGCCCAAGAGTGCCAGTCAAACTCAGACAGGAGCTTTCAGTCCATGCTTGAGCTGTGCTTTTGCTGTGCTGGTCTTCAGTTCTTTCTCCTGGGTGGACTTTTGACCTCGGTTGTAGCTTTGTTTCCAGCCGGCTTCAATTCCTGCATCGCCTGACTTTTTCTCCTGGCTGGACCCTGGGCCAACCCAATAACCCCACCTTTTTGGACTGTCGGTGGATCCTCTTACCAACACCCTGATCTGTCTGCCTTATTCAGCTGCTGCTAGTCTGTGCCTCACCTGCAGTGCAGTCACCTCACTCTTTCTCACAGAGTGAATATTGCTCTTACGGCTGCTATCTAAAATGGCTACCTAATTACAGGAAAAAATTTGCATATTTCTACTGTATCCTCGCTGCATCTAAAAWACACATCTGCTTCTTCAGAAATGGCAGGGAAGGATTTGGTGTTCTGTTTTCAAAGAGAAGGTSCTTGCTTCTGGAAAGGAGCACATGCCTGAAAACTAGAGACTGCATTTTCAAAACACTGAAGAGCTTTTTCTTTAAGAAGAAAACAGAACTGTGTATAAAGCAAACATTCCAAATTTTAAAAAAAAATGTAAACCACAGGCATATGTTGCTTTTCTTTCCTCAAAATTGCCATTTGCAAATTACAATCAAGTAGAAGTTAAATTGTAGATTCTGCTACAGTTTAAAATTTTAACAATTATCCTGAAGAATCAATTGACAGTCTGCAGTCACTTTGCCATAACTGAGAGCAGAATGTATGCAGCTTACACTGAACACACATATATGCAGTGGGGACACATAAAACTATAAAAGGCTTTTCTTTCATCAGATATTAAGAAGTCAAAGCCTAGATATTTAGCTCTCCAACTGTACTGTCTATTATAAGTTTAATTTGAATCACTGCAGCTGCAGGATTTGATAGCTCTTTTGCCTTATAATGCTCTTACCTGAACTACTGGCACTGAAAAAATCTTGTGAAAAATAAGTGGAGCGAGGAGGCCATACAATTGTACAACAGACTGCAGGGAGTAACTTGCATCRTTCAACCAGTTGCTAAGTTCAATTGCCACAGCCATTCTTTCACATTCTGCTAATCTAGCAACCTGTAAAAGAAAAAGGCATTTTGATTTAAATATGCATTCTGTTGTTTCAAATAATTTGAGAGTGGAAGAAGACAAATGTTATTGCAATTTTAAAAGCAGGATARGCAGCGAGAGAAAAGTTTTRAAATGAATTTACATTGAYACCTGTTAGAAGCATATTARRAACCACATTATTACTGATTCTAAARGAAACGGCTCTCTTGATCMAATTGTGCCCTTTAAGTTTGTCCATATAAATTACAAATGGAGGCTGATTAATAACCTCAAACTATGTGGAGTCAAAATTTCACATAGTAGGTTAGGGAAGGATAATTCCTTCTTTCCCCTTCAAGTTATGTGCTGCAGTCCTGGCAAGTGCTAGGTGATGCAGTAAAGTCTCTGAGTAATCAACTGCTCACATTTTTACAAGCACTTCAGCAAAGAAAGGAATAGAATAGGAATGCAATAATACAGAAGGCAAAGCTTGACTACCCAAATAAATAAGAAAGGGTCTATATTGTCATCAACATGCCATTATATTATAAAAAAAGGCTGAAATAAAATGAGTATATTAAAACCATGAAAACCTTGTTAGAATTTAAATCTTAATCAAATTATATCTATTAAATAGCAGAAATGTTTTTTTAAAAATCAAGGTCCATCTTACTTGGATAAGTAACAATTATCCTTACTTGGACAAAAATAACAATTAATATACTTTTTTCTTAAATTATAGTCTGCCAGCATTTGAGTCAAGGAAAATCTTTACTCAGTAGAAATCAGTGGGCTTTGGATTAGACAATAACTGATTCAGATACCTTCATTCCATTAAGATGTAAATAAACAACAGTTTCTGAAATACTTCAGAAAGACCATGTAACCCACAGAAAACAGAGTATTCTGTAAACAGGATTACTTGATTGCAGCATCTATCTTGCTATGATGAAATAAARCTGATGAAAAAGTAAAATCAAATCYAATTTATTATTTCAAACCACACATACTTGGTTTTTATAAAATATCTCATTGGAGCAGATGGAATCACAGAAGAGTGCTCCTTCRATGACATTAATGTCAGAGACAGCAAATATAGCCCTCAAAAAGAGGTGCAAGGTGATAGGAGAAGTCCGAGATACAGCTTCAAAACGTAACCTACGAGATACAAAAGCAAAAGAACAGCAAAAGTATGTTACTTATGATTCAGATCTCATATGCCTGAAACTGCATTATGATAAAATGAAATCTTTRGTTTAAAAATTATGGACAAAAATAATTGCAATAGCTTCTTCTGGGAATCAGATTTATATACAAACATGGAAAACTGCTTAAAATTTCTAAATTTAAAAAAAAAGACTTCCTTTGAAATTGCTGTCTACCTTCTACTATTCTAAAACAACTTTTCCTTATCTGTATCATCCAGTCCAGTGAAACTAATTCTGAATTGTCTTTGAAAACTTGGGATGGTATAGCTTATTTATTTTCACTGTTTCCTTTTACACATTGTTCTTCTGTATTCTGACAGCAATACATGCAGTTGTGAAGTCCATCACTAAGTATTACTAAGAGGCTTCTTTTCAACACTTATGTCTCATATTACAAGTCCCAAAAGAATCTTTTTTCTATTGCCTACTTTTCTATCAAGATGGTTTTTGGTTGATTTTCTTCTTCCTTGGGGACAGAGGGCCATTTGTACTTGCTCTATTTTTWAAATATTTTTGTTACAGGAAAAATCCTATGATTTTGAAGTACAAAAGAAAAAAAAAAATCCTTCTTCTCCTCGATTGTATTTGCTGAAAGAGACAGAAACTCGAGAAGGAAGATCAAATAGACACATTCACACACTTGACGTTACCAAGATGTCACCAACAGGGCTTCTGGCTGGAAACACAGGTTTCCTTTCCTTCAGGCTCCCTCTACTGTCCCTTTAGCGGGTGCAATTTCTTACCTACCGGGTCAGTAAAACTGAAACTGCCCGATACTGCAGCTGTGAGAATCTTCCATATCAATTGTAAAAAAAAAAGGGGGAAAAAACCAAAAGAGGCTTGGCCATAAATTTCAGAAAAGTAAAGTCCCTGAAACTGCTTTGCACAGCTACTTAAAATGTTCTGTCTTCATCTGATTAATCTGAAATTAGACTTGTTAAAATGTTATCTCTAGAGGTGTATGTATTTTAAAATGAATAATTTCTTATTAAAAAGTTAATAAAAAATTATTAAAAAATTGCAAAGAACAGCAAAATGACTATTCCTGCTTTGTTGCCTAGGCCAGGGATAAATTAAAAAACTCCACATAGTCATGAAATAGGATATACACTGATTATCTGCCTGCATCAATACAGTCCACAGGCTGTGTGTAAATCCCAAGTGCTGCTGTGGCTTTGGCATGCGACATCCAGACCCTCGGTGCATTTGTGTGCCCAGTACCAGACACGTGGTGGCACTTGAAGGGCAGACAGGATACACACCAGGGTCCTGGCTGAGCCTCACATAAAAAGAATACATTCAGACACACCACTTTCTCCCCTCACAGGAATCAAATCTCACAAAGTCTGCACTGCTTGCAAGCAAACAGCATGACCATAACAAATACAGGCTGATGCAAGTATATAAAAACAATAGAGAGAAAAACTAGCTACATTCTGTGTCTCATAACAGCTGATTTTTGCTTATTTACTGATTTGTAAAGTGGAAATTGAATTATTTTTACAAAACTGAGAGGAAATCCCTCTAACRACTGTTTCTCAAAACAAGGATCTTCATTTCTTCCTAAATTCTTGAAATATTCCAGAACTCTTAATAGTTGCTTTTTGTTATTATGGTTTCAAGACTCAGCTAGTCTGCCAAATGTAAACAGAGATGCTGTGAAACTTTTCTGCACCTCCTCCACAAGTTTGCCAAAACTTTCCTAATGGAAGAATTCATCTAAATAGAATTACGCAAAAGTGACATTGATGATTTGTATTCAGTTATATTGGGCGTTAACTCATTATCAAATAATAAATAGTTGACTTATATTTAAAACTGTTTTTCTTATAATATTTCATGTCTATTATTTAATAAAAATTTCTTTATCTGGGAATAAATTCAGTTTCAATGTGTTTTTCAATCTGGATCTATTGAATTTTAGTAAATGTAACCACAAAATTTCGAGCTGGGTTTTGTCTTTATTAAAACCATACAATATTATGGTTGAACATTTGAAATATTTTCATAAAAGAATTCATTTTAAAAATCTAAAAAGCCTCTTAGCATATGCAAAGACTATTGGCAGATTATACAGCCACCCCAAAACAAARTTAGCAAGCACTATTTTGGCTGCTGTTCTTGACAAAATTGTCACAATTTTTGAAATCTATTGCCCCCTTAATTGGAAAGTCCAGAATCCAGTGCACATTATACATTTTGCATATGAAAATCATCACACAAAATTAGTACCCACTTCAGAAATGTTTCCCAATTATCTTACGAACACAGCCATTATAAAGAATTAGGTAGGTATGTAAATGCTAGCAGTTCCATAAATAACTAAAACCCTCTGCTAATTATAAACCACTGTATTTTTAAAACACATTTCACAATGTTTTATTCAGAATRTTTTTCATATCACAAGCCTGAACAAAATTCCACTACTTGGAACGCTTTTAAATAAAATGTGCACATCTATAATTAGACAATAATTACAGATAATTAATTAACTAGTATTTTAATTTTGTTTCACCAGTTACCTTTTTTCAGTTATAGTGAAATTACTACTTGCAGAAATAACAGCTGCATTGGGAGGTAGTTCAGAAGAATCTGAAACAAAGTAATCCCACATTGGTGAAAATGCTTCTCTGGCTAATCTAAAGTTGCCAGTCAGCCAGGCTACCTACAAAACAAACAATCAGTGAGTAGAAAATTCATCAAATAATCAAGCCAGATATAGTTATAGGATAAAGAAGGTTTACAAAACTCCCCACAATGTAAATTTACAATTTCTCTAAAAATATTCTGACATATTTGAATTAAATATATGTAGCAACAATCTGATTCTACTAATATTAGTGTGGTTCAGATTTAGCAGCAGAGTAAGCAAGAGCTCCTTGATGGTTGATCAATGCTTTAACAGCCCTGTGTGGAATACTTCACAGCATTGTGCTGCAGTTTTTGAAGGCATATAAATTCACCTAGGTTTATTTCACTTTTGCTAGTACTGCAGAATGCCCTTCTGCTCTGAATAACGGCATGTAAACTAAGCCAAATAAGTAGGCATAAATTCATGTGGATACCTATATACTGGAATATTTTATGAAAGTTTTAAGAAAACTGTTCCACAAGATCTATCCATAGGGCTAGACAATCTCTTTTTTCTCTATGTCACAATCTGTTTTAAATATCTTTYAATAAGAACACAGAAAATTATGATGAAGATCTGATGACATTTGTGGTCTTTCACAAGACATTACAAAACTAACTTCARTATGAAAATGGTTGGTTTTGACACCTGGTAAGTTCAAAATCATTTTAAATTTCATAATGACTATTGTCATATGAATATGAATATGTCATATGAATAGTAAGGTGATTTCTAGTACTTGGTTTCAATCAAAAAAATGAAAAAAATATTATTAAAAAGAAGAAAGAAGTTAAAAGCAGACTGAAAAACAGAGATGGGTAAGAAAATAAGCTGACACAGTCCTTTCCACTTAACCTRTCATTTCCAATAATTTTGAATTAAGACTCAACTTACTTAGATACTATTTTTTATGTTAGAATTGTGATTTGTGCTTRTCAAGCTTTTGGCAAGAAGGTCTCAAGTAGTTACCCAATGCAGTTTTAGATCAACCAYTGAAAAACAAATAATTATAACCAAATTAAAGTATTATTCATTATCATACTCTAACCCTACCTGAGTTAGATATGCTCGAACAGCAGTAGCAGAAAGGGGTGGATAGGCAAGGATTGGCTTTGTCTGTTGCCCAATGGCATCACCAATAAGTTTTCCATCTGAAGAATATGCTGCGACGGCAAATACGTATTTCTCATTGACATCTAAGCCTTGTACACTTAAGAGGGTTTTCCCATCTGCTGSTATCTAACAATAAAAATATTTTAATAGTTACACCCACTATACATACCAAAAATCAAATCCTAAACTTTTATTGTAGAACTATTTAATGGACTTGTATACAATCAAAGTACAACCTAAGTTAACAACATGTCATGTACTAGATTTTTGTACTAAACTCTTGAAAACTATAATAATGAAATGATAGGTGAAAAAAAAACAACAGTTTTCTCTGGAATGCTGATGCATATACAGAGCACATAACCTAAGAGTACATTGAAATACCAGAACCTGAGSTTTCTTTAAGATACTTGTGTCCATTTGAACATTCACACAGTGACAGGGCATGCTTGCACTCATTGAGCTGAAACATTCTGGCCCTGAAATGTGCTTCCAGAAAACGATCATTTTGCTCTYCTTCATGCATGCCTCCTTCTTGTATTAGATATGGGCCGAGACATCTCTGGTCCTTTCAGCACCATTAACAGCAGTTTGGAGTTTGTGAAGCAAACAAAATCCTTTCAAGATCTTCATTTTTTCCTTCAAGTAATTGTGTACCTGCACTTTAACATCATGGGTCACTCCTAATAGGATTTTTCACCTTCCCTTYTGTTACCAGGATTACTTACATAAGGAAGATTTGAAGACTTCAAGGGTCTTAAAACAAGAAACAAGTGCCAATGATGAAAAGAAAACWTGAGAATTGAGATCRTCAATAACAYAGCATCAACATAATGCTCTTATTCAARCACAGTCTGGCCTTCTAAGGAGACCTCTGAACAAGAGAAATCCTTTCAAATGCTGGGACTGACTCCTGAACCAGCAGACCAGAAATTAGAGTACAACAGTCTGCAACATCCCTTTATGGTAAGTTGATAGATCGTTCAATCCCCAAGAACTCTAAACCTTTTTCTTGGAGTTGGCAGATACAGGCTCTGTCTGCGCATCAGAATTTTACAAAAGCATATCCTGAGGCTAACAGAAGTTYCATTGCTGAGGCATATGGTTAACCTCAGGTCTGTGCCTCCAGTGCCTGTCAGAGCTAAGACAGTCAGTGGCCTGGATGGACTGCAGCAAATTCACAAAAAAACCCAGCCGGCAGTGGGGTGAAAATCGCCAGTCAAGCGTAATCCATCTGGTACAGGATAGTACAAGGAAACTAATTCATTGAACATCACAGGAAGCTTGATTTTGTGGATTTGTGATCAGAGTATCAGGAATAACATCAAAGCCTCTACTATCAGTACCTACACACACCTTCTCTTCTGATACACTTTCCTTTAAGGGGAGGAGCCAGGGGAACAGCTGCAAAGGCAAAGATTCTCTCTCCATCACAAAGATAAGTCTATCAGGGTTTGCATAGAGCTTGCTTAAAAACCCAGRAAAGGTTGAAACATCAGGCAAAAGAGCATCTGTCACAAAGCACAACAGACCTGTCCTACAAAGAACAGAACTCTTCATTAAGRTTTCCAGATATAAAACAATCACTRAKGTGATCAATGAGGTGTCAGACTACRAAAAATCTRCTGAAGAGGACATACTGAAGTTTTCTTGCTCCTTTTMTAAATCAGAAAACACACAGTATTTGGAAGGTTCATTATTGTCATTCAGGGGAACAATGCAATGGCAGGCATAAGTGAATGAAAACCAAACTTGTCAGTCTGTGCAAAAACATCAGAAAGTGAACCAAAGGAGAAAAAAAAACCTACCTAAAATTGCAAAGCAAAACCAAACCAAACAAACAAGCAAAAATTACAAAATTAGATGTCAAATTGTAATGAATAAATAATGTCAGAGTATCAGCACAGTCAACATGATCAGTCATAAGTAATTAAAGGTGTGGAATGATTCACCAAACCACATGTTCACAGCATGGAAGGGAAGGAGCAAGAACATAGAAGTAAACCATGTCTGAACAAGGTTATTGAAAGAATGAAGGTTATTGAAAGAGTTCTATTTCCATGCTGCTGGAATTAAGGCAATGTCCTTTTTRGAAGAAATAACTGWTAGAAGTTMCRCARTTAAGAAAAATAATGAATTTTCATYYGTTTAGAATTCCTCTTCTTTGGAATTCCTGGTAAGAGTAGTGTCTGGAGCACACTCTCTAAAAATACTTCATGCACTTCTGCAYGTCTTAGATAACACTCAAAAAAACATAACAAGAGACAGGTTTGTTTAACTTGAAGCTTTTGAATAATTGACTTATTTTATTCAAAGAAGATTCCTGGGATTTTTTTTAGTGTACAAGCAGAAAAGTTTGTCAAAGGCTTAGCCAGTTACATGATTTTAAAAAATATCTCCGATAAAGAGATTTAGAAAGTTGGGGTTTTTTAGAGGAAGAGAAAATGACCTTAACAGGTTTTACCTCTGTCTTACCTGTTCTCCTGAATTTTGAAGTTTATTGCTATTTAACCTTACTTTTGTATTATTTCCTCCTGCCACACAGCCCAAAATACTGTACCATGAAACCTTTGAAGAAAATGAGAACAAAATTGTTTGATGAACAGTATTATTTCCAACTTTTGCCTAATGYAGAATGTAAAAATTTTGTGAAAACMGTCTCTGCAAAAAAACTCAGCTTACTTATTAAAAAGTACAGTCTAACTGCACTAAAAACATCAATTAATTTATTTAGWGGGAGAACTACATATACTACAGCAGCAATAAAAACAGATGACTCTCCATTATCCTAACCCCACCTTGAGTTACCCTATTTCTCAAAGTTCCATTGACTTTGTATTTCTTTCTTACTCCTCAGTTTGAGAAACAGATCCTTGCTCAGCCATTCTGGTTTCTGGCCTCACTTGCTCAATTTCCACGCATAAGAGAGCTCTCTAAAAAATCTGTCTTACAATGAATACTGACTGTTTTTCAGAATGTGTTATTGAAATTGAAGAGATTATTTTCAGCAAATGAGCTTTAAGATCTGAACAGTATTTTGATTCCTAGTACAAGAACTGTATATGTCTAATTAAATACTAGGTATACATTTATCCTAAGAAACTAACTAAACCCCAAGTATTCAATTAATAATTTCTACATTTAAAAGATACCTTTTCTGTGGCTCAACAGCTATGTGTAACTTTAGAAAAACATTTTTCTAGACTATCTGGGCTCAAATTATAAAAAAAATAATCACATTTCGCCATCTAGCGGCCCAAGGTGTTGTATTCACCCTCCTGTATAAAACAAAATGAACACTTTCTAAAACAAATGAAATACCAAATTTAAAAGATTTTAATCTTAGGATTTTTAAGATTTTTTTTTAAATCTTATTTTATATTCAGTAAGGACAGAAAGGATAGATTTTTCTCTAATAAATCTTTTTGAAATTCACTAATAAAACTSCAGGTTATGAAACAACTGTTCAGAGGAACACTCTTACCACTATTAATAAGATTTGAGTTCCTACTGGGTTTACACACGATTATCTTGAAAAAGCACAAAAAATTATTATGAAAATTTCTTTCTCAAGGAAACTGCAGCTAGTGTATTTTCCATAGTTCAGCCTGTTTGAATCCTTTCTGATAAGGGGAGGACAATAAGGTGATTTGGAACAGTCAGAATGGATTTATCAAGGGCAAATCAGGGCTGACCACAATGACTGGCCTCTGTGATAAAATTACTTGATTAAGCAGAGGAAGGGAGAGGAGCAGAYGCCATTTATTTTTCACAGTAGAGCATGGTTGGGGGAGGAAAAACAATATACTTAAATTGAAGCAAGGAAGCTACCAACTGCATATACGAAAAAAAGTTTTCCTATGAACATGTTGCCCTGTTGGAACACAGTTTCCAGAGAAGCTGTCTCCACAAGAGGCCTCTCCTAACATCCCTATGATCTGCATAGCTCTGTACCCTATATGTTCAACATAAATTGGATTTTTTCCTCCTGAACTATGTCACTTAAACACTTCATTAACAGACTTCAGYGTGGTACCTTCCTGCATCCCATGATGCAACAGTCTTACATCTCTTCAGAGTGTGACTAGGAGGACATCAACCCCTAAGCGAGCAAATGAGCATTTGATAACTGGAATAAATGTGTGTTAGACAACAGAACCACCAAGGAATATGATGTRTGAGATTAAGAAACTTTCATGCAAATGTGAAGATCAAAACAGTGAGTCACAGAGGAAACTGACTCATTGAGGAAAAAAAAGGGATAGTTAATTAAGTCAGAATAACAATCTTCTCAGGAACAAAGAAAAATGCGTTGGTATAGCACTGTTGAAACAACTTTTCTCTTGTGTRTTGTTTAGTTATTTCTTATGCAGTCATCATGAAAAACATTACCTGAATATCTGAATCAAATGGGGCTGGTTTAAATGTCATGGAGCAATGTGATCTAGAAAGTAACAGAGGAGGAGGAGGAGTCCTGCTTTTCTTCTTGCTGCTCACAGCTTCTTTGAAACTGCGATATAGCGCACTTTGTTCAGCTTCAACTTGCTCAGTTAAAGTTAGTGCTTCCTATGATTGAAATTAAAGCAAAAGCGGAAAACTATTAAAATACAACAATCAGATGTAAAATTCATAAATTATTTTCAAATTATCATYGAAAGTTTCACTGCTATGCAGAAAACATTCAGTAGTTTTTCATATCATCCTATATTCTGAATCAGGATAAACAGTACTTTGTATAAGCTTAAAAATGCAGATTAATTTCACAATTAGAGAATTCCAGGTTGCATATGAAAGAGGCATATACAGCTTTGGAAGTATCTATAGGAAAAAAGAGAGTGATCACAAATAATGTTGATATGCAATTAGTGCCAGTCAGTGATTAACTTCAAGAAGAAACATAAAAGACATCAACTGCTATTTAGGAGAGGGCTGGAAATCTAATCTGYGGAATTTCTGAAGGAGCTGTGGAGGTAGTTGGACTGATTTTTGGTACTTCAGAAACAGAGGAAAAAAAGAACCTCTAGAAATACAGGTGGAGAATGTGGGTCCAGAAACAGTAGAGCTAAGCCATTTTTCCCTTGGTTAGCTGTAGATAGCTGAAAGCTGACTGACAGTCTATTGGTCTTTCAAAGACGTGGGGACTCCCTACATACAGTATTATGTGGCCATTTGGTTGGAGATCAAAGGTACACTTTTTTAATACTTGAGTGAATAGCAGATTGGTAGGTTTCTTCACCTTRATTTCATTGTCAGTACATGAGAAGCTTAACTTGGAAATCTAGTATTAAGAACTTGGTACTTCTGTACCTTTACTTGTGGCAGCTGTTCAGTGCAAAGCAAAGCCAAAAAAGGCCAGCTCCCAGAGATGAACAAGGATGCCTTACACAAATTACWTTTTTTGTAAAGACAAGAAATTACATATTCCCACAACTAGAAATTTTATTTGAAGCCTTCTAGTATCCTACACTGAACCAAGGATTTAGGCTGAGCTCAGTCTGAAAGATAAACTAAAAAAACCCAACCCAAGGTATTGGTAATTCAGTGACAATCCTATAATCTTGCACCTTAAGTTCTCTGTTTCTGTCCTCATACATTTAGAAGACTACACCAAAGGGGGTCACATCACAGATTGAGTAAGCCTGGAATCTCATGTCCAAAAATTCTGGAAAGATTACAGATTTATAGTGAAATGAGCAAAACAGGGAGCTAAGATTTTATAGAGCCTTTCACATAGCTAATAATTTTCACAGCCCTTCCACTTCACCACACTTCCTCCTCCTTTTGATTAGGGTTGCATCCACCCTAGTGGGACACATAAAAGGAAGGAAATAAGATAAAGAGCAAGATAGAGTGACTCTTTCCATCACACACTCAACTTTTGCAATCAGTAGTGTGAAGCTTCATTGCTTCCTTAAAAACTATACTTCTTCATGTAAGCTGTCCTATGATATAATTTTTATTTAAAAGAATAAGAGATTTGTTCTTGCCTAAGGATATATTTCTGATTAGTGCAAGGATGGAAATACTCCCAGGCTGAATAGACAGTGTTGTGATGAGAGTGGTACTGCATAAACTGTACTTCAGTAATTGTCGAACTTGGAAGATAATAAATATGGCAGCGTTGCAAGATGAGCAAGAATAATCATACAGTTGAGGAAGCCAAATGTTACCATAAAAATTCCAAATGCTTGACCTGTGATAAATCACATTTTATCCTTGCCTCTGTCAYAGACTTGACCATGGTATGAACTTAATCACATTAATTTAATTTTACAGCTGGCCAATGAGAACTACCTGTGTATTCAATTCTGTAAAGACTTGGATATMCAACCAGACATATGACAGGAAGGAAGAATTAAACAACTGTGAAAGAAATAATAAAAATCGAAGYCTGCATAGTAGCTCATTAAGCAGTTTGATGTAATTGAGTATGACTCAGAAGCTTTCTTACCTATTCAGTTGTTTACTGCATGAGCAATGGTTATTTGTATCCTTCTCAAAATAAAATAAACTGCTTCCTATTTTGCTACATAATAAGAACAGATTTGTATTATATTGTGCTGATTACAGTAGAAAAGGCCAGAAGATGCATGCAATTCTATATAGAACTCTACCATCAAAAAACCAAAAGCATGAAAATAAAAGTGTGGATTTGCTCTTTATTAAGTGAGCACCATCCTCCTCAAACAGGAAAATTAATTGAGCATATAATTAAATATTTAATCATAAAACAAAAAGCAAAAGAAATCATGCTAAGTTTGTCCACACRAAGTGCATTCTGACATTTTTATAAATATATGAGACAGATTTTTAATGTATGYCCTTTCTGATCCAGTTTTTGCATTATTCTGATGTAATAAATATATGTATTAACTATCATGCTTCCAAATTTGCAGCACTTAAAAGAAAAACACTTGCTAGTAACTTCTTGTTTAAAATACTCTAATATATTATATAGAGAAACTTGGAGATTCTGTTATCTGTTGTACAGGCTATAAAGAAATTTTAAGCCTTGTTGATGAGCAGGCAATTTTCATGGGCAGATGCTGGCACAGAGGTCAGTGGAAATACTCTCATTGATTTCAAGAAACTGAAATGAGCCCAGGAAGAATCTACTTTTCATTCCAAYAGATTCTAAAATCCCAATATCTAAACTATTTATTTAGTAAGAATAAAATAGAGTCCATGCCATCATCACCAGCCAAAATATTCTAAGACAACCTACAGAACAAAACAAAACAAAAAAATTAGTAAGAACATTGAAGATTACAATAAGGAAATCTGAATGACATTTTGACAGTGTGTAGGTTCATTCTGCAAAGTCTAGATGATTAAGTGTAGAAAGAAAGATCTTCTCTCAGATTTCCTCCAATCTACACATACACACAAAATTTGGGGATGTGTTCTTTCCTTGTTTTAAGGTCATTTTRTTCTTTCATCATAATGAAATTTCTCATGGAAAGTAAAATTACAACAGAAATTAAAAACACATAGTGACCCTCAAATTCCTTCCATTTTTCTTATTTTTATAAGGAGCAATCCCTGTCCCTTACAGGATGTGAAAAACTGTGATGATAATAAGGAATTTTTGTCATAAGATTTTGCTTATTACCTCCAGTAGCTGCCTTTGGGAAGCAGTAGTTAACCCTTCAGGGAACTTCTGTGCAGCTTTGTGCAGCAAAAAKATTGCTCTGGATAACTTATTCCTTTTTATTTTTTCCATTATAAGTGYCTCTATAAAATAGATATTTAAAGACATTTATAAAACAGCAGCAATAATTTATTATACCTCTTAAATTACTATACCTCTTAATTAATATGCCTTACCTGTTAAATATTGGAAATCTTCACTGTTASTCACATAAGACTTACTAGACTTCAGACTTCTGTTAACAGCTTGAGCACCTGTGTGGGAAGGAAATACTGAGTAATTTTTATAGTGTAATTGCAAGAAATTGAGTAAGAAAGGATAATATGTAGTTTTATAGTAAAGCTCTGCCCCATCTCATGTTCTTTTCTTCAGTTCAAGTAGAATTTCTTGTGCAGATCATGTCATTAAAAATATTCCACTCTCCTGGTATAACATCTTTTGTAGTTATACAAACACCACAGAATAAGAGAGGTCTTGTTTGATCATAGTGCAGTTCTGTATTGTCAAACTAATACTAGATTTTAATTTAAAAACAACAAAATAACACTAAGAATAAGAGAAAAAGCTACATTTTTTCAGAAGCCATTTGGCAAGAGTGACTGGAATCCGCTGACTGGAAAGATATAAAGATAATTTTACAGGGGTAGAAGCTCAAAACCAAGAACCTTGAATAAAATATTCAAGTCATTCTCTAGAGAGAAAATTAGCATTACAGAAAAATAAATCTGCAGAACATCCCCCAGTTTTTCCTTACTGGCACAGTAAAAGTTAATATTACAACTAAAATACAACAAAAACTGTCTAGGAATTAAATCCATTAATTGTAGCAAAGTTTAACTCCCATTGGTTGAGCAGAGGTTAGAGACTAGTATCATGTAATTCTAATTTCTGCACATTATTTCTGTCTATATGTGGCACAAGAACTGCCCAACATCACAACATCAGCTCCCCTTCAGAAAGCAGAAACTGTTTATTTCTTAGTACCACAAAATCTATTTTTTTTTTAAAAGACTCTGATAAAGCTACGAAGATTACTAAACTGAAACCTACCTTGTGTAATTTTAAGMAGTTTCACAGCTACTCGATGTTGGGCCTGAATGAATTCCAAGTGYAAATCTGCTAAGAAACCATTATCTGTTCCTGTTTTATCATCACCACATCCCAAAATAGAATTCAAATACTGATCATTTGAGTCCATCTAAACAGGAAGTGACAATTAAGCAAATACAAACTTTTATTATTTAGCTTACTGCATTTTTCTTGATATTATTCAAGTAAATTGGCAAACACYGAAATTCATCATATTTGTGTAATATGCAGTCAATCAAGAAAGCATGAAAAGAAGAATAACCACATGACAGAGAAATGACAGAGAAAGCATGGATAATGGGCACAGAAAACCAGACAAATCTGAGAATCAATAGAAAACTGGATGAATAATAAAGACAAAACYGCAAAAAATGTTTTACTGTCCACAAAATACGTGATATAAATATCACATTGACGTAGAATGATAACATTAAAAAAATTTGAACTCACATCAACAGCAAAAATTGTGTTTAATAATAAACAGTTGCAAGCAATAACTATGAATTTAATAGAAGAAATGTATATATTACAACTATTTAAAAAGTAAAAGGTAAAGAAAACCTAAAGGAGTTCATAGTTTACTATTGAAAGAAAATAATGCTATTTCAACTTCTGCTGGTTTTGACTTAGGCAGAGTTAGGTTTTTCTCACAGTAGCTGGTATGGGGCAATGTTTTGGATTTATGCTAGAAACATCATTGATAATGTCCAGGATGTTTTTATTACTGATGAGCAGCACCCATTCAGCATTAAGGCCTTTTCTGCTTCTCACACTGCCCACCAGAGAGGAGGCTGAGGAGGCACAAGAAGTTGGGAGGAGGCAAAACCATTTTGTTGCAGTGTAGCTTTTTGTAAACTTTACCTTCGTGCAACAGTTGTCAAATATCAACTTTCCATCTGGCAAAAGGGTCATTAACTGAGATGTRTTCATGTAATTAATTGCTTTTTCAAGAATTTCATAAGCAAGTTGTAATTGTTCCATAGGAGTTTTCTGAAATGAAAACCCATATAAACAGATTTTATTAGATAACAGCATTAAAAACTATAATATAGACTATCAAAAGTAACATGCTTTTCTTTTTGGTTGCTGGAGTTTAAAATTGTCAGATAATCTTACATAGGCACTGCTCCCCATACTTTAATATAGTAATATCAATGTGTTAATTTTTAAGTAGGACTGATTTTCCTTCAAGCTCAGAAAAAAAAAAACCAACAAAAATTACTCAGAGTTATCTTAYAGCAGAATGAAACTGAACTCAGAGAATTAAGTTGTAAATTGTATTTTTCACAATATTCTATTAGCTGCTATGAAAAAACCACTTTTTTTTCAGAAAACACCATATTTAAGTAGACTGTCACTGAACTAAATCCTCTCCATGTGTGTAAGCATTAGGACATATCACTGACAACACCCTTGAATCCTCAGGCTAATGCATATAATTCCTTCTTAATGTGCTTTAGTWAATAATTTGATTGGACAATTCTGCAGTGTTGAACAAAGCAAGGACACTCAGGATGTTTCATTTATTCTTCATGATGAGAGAAGGAAGCAAAAACACAACCCAAAATATTCTCCTCAATGAAGAAAGGATTCCAATTTCCATCATTTAAAAAAACATGCTAATAAACCATATAAGGCTGGTACTACAGATTGGCATAAAAAAGGTGTACAATGGAAATCAYTATGCTCATGCTGTAAAAAATTTTCAAATACAATCTCTTCCATAAAAACGATTGATTAMAAATACTCAGGTATAATTTTCAAATTTTATTTCATTTGAAGGAATATCTTTGCTTCTTTCCTCTGCACTAACAAAACTGTGTGAAACATTTCATCTTTGTAAAACTAAATATAAAATTGTATGAAAAGCTTCAAGCAGAAGTATTCTTATACTATTCAAAATCATTGTATCAATGAARGTAAATTGGACCTTACCATCAGTATTTCAGGCATATCACAGGTTTCATCTTGCAAAAGAGAGGCACTTCCTCCTTTTTTATAGGAAGAAAAGCAGAAGCGAAAATTAAATAAACCCCAAAAATTCAATTTGATCAGCTCTACTACTAATTTTGGAGTCTAGCAATAATYCTGTTCTTCAGTGTTTGACTATGAGAGGTAATTATATTGTTTCTTGAAAAACTTTCCAGGGCTTAGACATGTAACAGCATATGGGTATGATAATACAGGATATGATTATCCAATAGTGTTATATTTTAATAGTACCCTATATTTCATAGCCACATTATATCCAAGCTAATGAAACTTGGACTCATTTTGCAGCTCCTCCTATTTTTGTAGCATTCATATAAATTCTCCACTTTCAAATGAATTCAAATCTATTATCTCATTCACTGTAGGTTTAGTGTTAATTTCATTTATAGAGGGATTTTTAAGTAAAAGAGGTCATATTTTTATGATAGATACTATTTAATTTTAATATTTCTTGAAGTGGCATTATCAGCCTTTTAGTATTTGCTTTGATTGTTTAAATTACTTTCATTTCATTTATAAAGAATGCATCCAAACKGTGTTTTCTTCTTCAAAAAAAAAGAGAAAGCAACTTTTTAGTTCTTGGTTACAGCCCTCTAATTTCATTTATTTGCTGAAATAATTTTTTTTTTCCTTTTTGGAGGAACAACCTTCTAGTCACTCCTTGTGCCACTTTTGCCTGTTTGTTTTTGCTTGTTCACTGCTCTCTTCCTCATAAATAAGAAAATTTGCATTCACTCAGCATTCATTCAGTACATMGACTCTTTTCAGCACAAACATGTGCTTGACTGTCAGCCTGTTCTGACCAATGGCTCCCATCTATTCAGCTTTTTCTTCCTCCAAAAACACATATTTAAACTCAATGAAAAACAAGGGGTGCTACAATGAGGATTCATTCTGTCTTCCTGAGAATGTTATGATTTTTGTAACACCACCAAAAGCAATACCTACTATACCTTAATAATAAATAGTAATTTCCCAAGATTTTTTTACTTCCAAAAGTGCAAAACTATTATAATTTCTTTCTGTTTCTAGGTATGGTCTAAGAAGATCCTTATCATTTACTCTCTAGTTACTATAAAACATTTATATGAATTATGATTCATATTCCAAAATACACAATAGAGAACTCCTAAAAGTATATCTAAATATTCAGGTTTTGGAAGGAAGTTTGTTTAATGTGATTGTGATTGCATTATATCCCAACAATGTCAGTCAAGTTCAAAAAAATTGAATTACTTTAAAGTGAAACTAGGTAGAGAACTAAATTGATGACCCAATAAGAGCAAAAGCTTCAGTATGACATCAATATTTTCCTGTTTTGATTGGCCTCCAACTAATCAACCAGCACTGGAATGYTCCAAATGAGCCACAGCATGTACTGACTTCTGCCCAGCACATATTTGGAAAATGTATCAGTGACCTGAGGCTACTCTGAAAGGCCTAAGAGGCAGGCAGAAGACCTATGTAGAGTAATAAGAGACATAATTTAAAATGGGGTTATTTCAGTAGAACTGGAAATGTGASGAAAGAAATCATAAACCCTTGGAAAACCAGGGTTTCATTAGCTCCAATTATGGATGAAATTTTGTGCGAAAAAATTTGTCCTTCTACCCTCAACAATCTCTTCACAATATTTTTTAAATATGTATGTTTGTCAAAGTTGTCAGCTCAGAAAAGTTCCAGTCTTAAAAGTCATTCTTGAAACAAAACTCAATCTTTTCAAGAAAGCATTACCTTCTTTTTCCTTAGATTCAGTTGTAGAATCAGCTACATTTTCCAGTATTGCAGTWAGACATAAGGTAATCTCTGCAAACATTAGATTAATGTCTGTTATGTTGCTCTTCTCAATTATTTCARTTATTAGCCAGAGTATATGAACCAACTGGAAATGGGGAAATGGAAAGAAAAAGAATCAAGACAATGCTAAATCAAATTTTTGGAAGACATTTATGTATTACAGAGGTAGACAGGGTTTCACACTCAAAATTCTTTTAAAATAYTCCCAAGCATGCACATAGCTCCTTTCCTGGATTTGGCTTCTTTTTATTTGAATGTCACCAGACTAGGATGCTGAATTTACACAGCTGAATTTACATAGTCCCTGTTTTTTTAGACAGCAGACATTTTTGCATTTTAGAACATTATTATTCCTGCCATTCTTTTTGGAAAGGTTTATGTGTGCAACAGATATAACTTTTATACCTAGCTCTAATACAGTAAGCCTTTCAGTAGATTTGATTACATGCCTCTAATTTATCTCCATATCTTCCCACTTAAACACAGAAAAAAAAAAGACCCAAACACTGCTGTTGTACATACAGAGGAAAGTAACTGCACATTACCTTATGGGGACAGACCAATTTTACTATACAAGGTCACAAACTAACTCCTCCAGAAACTGGTTTGCATCAACTGGCAGCCCAGAGAGCCCCTTTCACCCAGACCCTCTCATTCACAGGACAAATTCAGCCCCCCTCTATCCAGTGGGCCAATGCTATTGACTCCCATCTCCCTTGTCTTTAGCTGTAAGATTTTTGTTACTTTGTTCAACTGATCTAGGGAAATTTCTTGAAATATATTGATATTTTCTGCCACAACATCCCAAATTATTCTTACATCACACCCAAATGTTTTCACTAACTCAGCTTCTTAACACCATTGCCACTAACAGAGAGTGAGGTACTTTACCGCAAAAAGAGATATTTTGATACACACTGGCGTATGGGAGCACAGTGTGTTCAAAGTGTATATACAATTCATATTTTTGGTGACGATTTTTCTGCGTTCCACCATAAGGAAAGATACTTAGACTGGATACCAGTATTCTACTGATTTTACCATAACAGACTGCATTCACACAAGAGAAATACATTATAATGAAGGAGTACTTGGTAAGCTTTGTGTTTGTGCATATATTCTAAGTAGTCACTTCCACTCGTTTGGATTTGCTGAAGCTCTGTTTTACACTTCTGCCACAAACACATYACCACACCGACAAGTATTTCTCTGTCAGGATGGACATTCTGGAAAGAAAAAGCAATATAATTGTGGAAACAGGTAGGCATAAAAGCACACAAAAAACCCAGTACTTAAAACTGTCTCAACATTTTTCAACACAAGTAAACAAAATATGTCACTTTCTTATAAGGGATGACRACATTTTTAAAGCTGTAGAAATGTTTTCAAAAAATAATTTCTGGTAGACCATCCAAGCTTTTTCCCTCTCAACAACATAAGGTTTAGAGGGTTTAGAGGTTTGGGGAGTTAGTTGTTTTTTTTTTAATTGACTAGCTCCTAAAGGTAACACAGACAAAGAAATCAGTGAGATGAAAGTTACATGAGAGAGCAAATTAACYATCTATGATGCTGTAAAAATCAATACATTCTGGAGAAACTTTATTTTTATTACAGTATTTAAATACTTGCAGAAGAAAATCTAAATTTTCATTTTGCTTGACAGAATACTTCCATGGGTTRCTGGTACATGTCAGGTGACAAAGCAGTAGAAAACAACTTAAACATCTAGAAAAAAATTTGGAGTGAAATATCTAAAAACTGAAAGAAATGTTAAACCCTACCTGAATCTTGTGAAGGGAATAATTAAAAAATTCAAAACTCTGGTCAGTTAACCCTCTTAATTAACTGTCCTGGTTTTGCTCAGTCCGATTTTTGGTGGTGGGGGGATGGGACCAAGAAACCACAAAGATGGCTCCTGTGACAAAGTTCTAGAAGCTTTCTCCTTCTTCTCCAGCAAAAGGAGCCCTACCCCCTATGTTTTAGAGCCAATCCATTATGGCTCTGAGGTTGATGGACAGGCTGCTGGTCAGGCTGGGCCAATTGCACAGGCTAGTTACACCTCTGTGATGACGTATGGTCTTGTACTTAAGAAGAATTCAAAACAAGATAGAGTGCAGYGACYAYGTAGTTTTTAGGTTGTTAGTATCATGCACTGGGGGAGGACAGAGCAGGAGGTTGAGGAGATGTAAGAAAAAATTGAGACCCAAGATCACAGTAAGAAGAAGACAGGTGCTGCTGCTGTGGTGCTTGAACATGGCGAAAATAAGCTGTTCTCGAAAGGACTATTTCTTCAATGGGAGACCTGTATAGAAAAGAGAGCGACCTTGCTCTGAGGAAAAAAACCTGGTCTTGGGGGACTGGACTGATCAGGAGCCAAAAAGGGGGAAGAAGCTTGCCACCGGCCTCATGTGTGAAGTGAGCTGACGCTTAAAAGAAATTGTGTTCTGCAGGGAAAGAGGTGCCCCCCCATCCACGTCTGAAGCAAGTGGCTGCTTAGAAGAAGCTGTGTTCTGCCGGGAGATTTGAGAGAGTGGGGTTAGCCTTGGAGAACTGTTTTGCTTTCCCCTACGAGGTAAAGAAAAGAATCCCATGCCATCAGCAGTTATACACTGACTGTTTCCTGTGAAAAGACCTTCCACAGCTTAGAGSTGTAAGGACTTTTCTCCTATGATGCTGGATGATAACCGTAATGAGTAGTTTGATCTATGTTAAACTTTCATCCCCTGCCTCTCTTGCGTGCGGGAAGGAATGGAGGGGTGGGGAGGGACAACCTGAGAGAGAGACAGGTTCCTGGAAAGAAAAACAGGTGTCTTAAAATGTCCATTTTTATTTTCTTCTCCTTGTAAATTTTTCCCTAATTTTGTTTCTCTGCCCAGTGCGGTAGTATTAGTAGTTTTGTTGCAATAAATCTATTTTGCAACTTAAGTTATTCATCCTGTCTGACCATTTTCTGGAGCATGTATGTATCTTTCTCTCAATTATCTTATCTAAAAGCGATAAATTTTAGTGTTAATTGAGCTTCTGCTCTCCCTTCTGCCTTCTCCGGTGGGGGGCGGCAGGGGGGGGGGGGAGGAAGGAACGTCATTGGGTACTTTAGCTTTCAGTCAAGTTCAAACCACGACATTAACACATTGTAAGAGGCAATAGAGTCCATCTCTGTGTTAAATACATTCTAAACAGTAAGGATCAGGACACATCTTTATCATCATTTATAGCAGAATTGAACTAGTATGTTGGGTGCACTGAAACCTGATAYATGCACACTATCTATAGTCATATATGTTTCAGCATAAGATTTCAGAGATATGGATAATAAAAGTAGGGAGAGAAAAAGACTGGAGAAAAAGCAAATCAAAATTACTTTTGCCACGGGTTTGGTGGCAGCAAGCTGCTAGATTGCCTCAGCTATGTRTCATGCATCTTCACCATCAGTGAATACCCTGTTAAGCAGGGGCAAATTTGTTTTTCTTCCCTGGACAGATCAGGTATCAAGAAGATTTGCAGCAAAGTGTAGAAAAACCAGTAGAGTTTAAATCCGGGTAACTGCCTGTATAGAGTGGTCCCACCAAAAACTGACAAATCATGCTCTTCAAAGGTATCTGTGGGGTACCTCACAGGSAAGATGTTTTGACTAAATACACTACACTAAAACTAAAAATATGTGTGCTCCAAAAAAAAAGTTATATATACCATATAAAAATATGTTTTATCCAAATTATGGCAATATTCAAATTACATGTAAAATAAATTTTGCAGTTAAGATACATGCCATGTTAGCAGAACAGGGCTTTTTTTAAGGAAAAATTTTCCTTAGTTTTTTTGGATCACAAACTATTTTAATATAAGTGATAGTAGTGGAAATACTGCACTATAATTTTTTCCCCTCTCAGTAGCACATTCCCCACTCAGTAGCACAGTTTGAGCAAGTAAAGGTGTTTACTCTGGGAATAAATCATCAGATACATAATGGGATTAATTGTACAGCAGAGACTTCAGCACAGAGGCCCACTCTCATTGGTTTTGTYGCTGCTGCTGCATGTTTGGGTTCTTTGCAGTGAGAATTTACCTTAAATTGCAGACATACTATTGTTAAAAAGGCATTATCATTCCTTAGAGTAACTGCCCMCATTTCTATAAATATTGCAGAAGTGATTTCCACAGCTGAGTGTATTTGCCCACCTGAATCTAGCACATGTAAAGAAACTCGATCTCTGCTTGACTGGCTGAAACATGCAATCAGCCCTCTGGTCTTCCAAATATATTTARTATCTATTTAACACTTTTTAAGTAGCCTGATCACATAACATTTTAAAATATTAAATCATTTTTTAAATCAGAAACTGATAACATTTCCTAAGTGCMTTTTTTCACTTTTTGTATTCTTGCAGTTTATTAGTCATGCAACTGATTCCTCTGATCTTCAATTATACGCATTCATCACAGATTAAGTGACACATTGAGAAGAAATATCTCTAATTCTGTTATTACCTGCTCAGACGTGGAGACACAGGAAAACACTGTTGTGGCCAAAATTGTAAGATCATAAAAAGGATCTCCATTCTTTATGAATTCTGTTATAGTCAACATTTATAAAAAAGGGGGAAAAAAAAGGAAAGTTAAGACATCACATGTAATTAAAAACCTACATTTGAAAATATCTGAGTCAGCTGACATGACAGCAGATAACAGGGTCTAAGGAACAGTAAATACATAGGGGGACAGATATTTACAAGTTTATTYATTCCTGTGAAAAGTGAGCATTTTTATTTTTAGGAAACGGAAAGTTTTCAAGATATTTTCAGGTTTTTTGATTGTTAGAGAATTAAACTGCAGTTGCTCAAACAAGTTTTTCTTGCTTCTATTTAAAAWTTTTTGCAAAAATTAAGTATAAGAACAGACCAAAAAAACCCTCAAATATCACTTTTTCCTAAAARCTTTTCTGAAAACATTCAATCTTTTTACATCTTTGCTTATAACTTGATGCATGCTTAACATATATCATGYATTTCCCACTTAAAGGAAACAGTATAAAGTCATATATTTGAAATGAAAACAGAAAAAAATAGGTGACATCTTCTCAGTTACTACTTTTTGTTATAGCCTACTGCATAAAACTATATTACATAGTTTAAAAATAATTAACAATACCACTTGTGGCAAAAATATTCACTTCTAATTGTTTATGTCTTTTCAGAACCTTGAGAAGTGGCTCCTTTGTTATTATCATCATTAACGGAAAAATTGCGTTCAAATTTTCCTGGGAATACTAAAGGTTGCATCAATGTAAGAAGTTTGAGTTCTRTTTCAGCTTTTTTCCATGCTGGGTCATCTTGAGCCTAATTGAAAAACACATAAAAACTCGTCTTTAAAATATGTACTTTGAATACTCCTTATGCTGCTAGGAAAGGACTAAATAAAGAATGTCTAAATCATAACCAGATTACCTGAAGRAAATTGACAACAAATTCAAGAGCAGAATCAAACACGTCCCACTCTTCATAGCTGAAAGCTAATTTTACAAATTTCACAGCAGCATCTCCAGACACCCCTTTTTCTCCTGCAGTGATGACAAAAATATTTTCTCTGTTTTATTATTACATATTCAGAAGTTTATTGAAAGTTTAATTTATTTTAATAATTTGGGTATCATTAAATACAAAGATAAATCGCCATGTGCTTTTGGACAGTCAGCATAATCTTGAAGGGTGTTTTAACAACTTTGCAAGAAACAATAGCTTTATTTTTTCACAGTAATTTCTATGCTTACATGTTACTTTAATGATGTATCTGCACCCACAKAATAATAAAGGCTTGAAAAGCCCTCCAAGGTCATCAAATCCAACTTTTTACCAAATACCACCATGCCCACTTAACCATATCACGGTGTCCTGTTACATTCAAAAGAGGCTCTACCATTACTGATATTAACACAACTATGCAGAGAATCACAAGGATTTAATCCTTGCTGTCGGAGGAAGAGCTTAAATCTGGGATCACCTGATAATGATCCTTACTATCCAAAATTCAGTTCAAAAATTACATAGAGATATGTAACATCACTTCCAAGACAGGTAAATATTTCTCATTACTGTGTCAGAAAATGCKCATGTACATAGGGAGCCTACTTTCTCACTTTTCAGATTTATCTAAGCTACAGTAAGGCAGAAAACGCACTTCTGGTCCTTGGAACTCTCAGCAAGTGTTTTAGCTGATATATTCAAAAGTGTTCTGCAGTCCTAACAGTATGCCACARTCACGGTCATGAGTTGGAAGGGACCTACAAGGATCACCAAAGTCTAGCTCCTGGCCCTGCACAGAACCACTCCAAGAGGACACCATTTTAGACTCTTTACGTATAGAACTGCTACTAACATTCATTATTAAATTAATTCTGCTCACTGAGCATTTGTATCACTGAGTACAAAATCCTTTGAAATTCAGACCTAGCTTACCTGTTAGCATCAACTGCAGAAGAGTAGATGATGGATTAATTATACCAAAATCATTGGTGCAACTGCTCTCTTGACCTTCAACAGAGACAATTTGTTAAATCAATTTATAATCTATTTGACTTGTTATGTTCTAATTAGTCAGTAATCATATCAAGAATATGAACTCCAGTTTACTTAGAAAATACATGCTTAAGCTACTGTAGATTTTTACTGATTATAAGAGACCATGAAGACCAACCCAGGTTTTTATCATCTATTTTATGAAGATAAGAAAGACTACCTGCTTTTACAGTTGCTATTGTTATAAATTAAATATATACCTTCAGGCACATTCTTTCTTTAAAAATAGAAATAAAACAAAACAAAACAAAATAAAATAAAATAAAATAAAATAAAATAAAATAAAATAAAATAAAATAAAATAAAATAAAATAAAATAAAATAAAATTAAATTAAATTAAATGAGGTCCAGGATCCTCACCAACCCCCTTTTTGCTTCTTTAAGCTGTTACCTGAAAGGATTTCTAGGCCTGCAGAAAAAAGCTCAGAAATGACATCACGAATTTCAGTTTCATCAGGAGCAGGTGGATGAGGGGGCAATAGATTCCTGTTGCTATCAGCCAGTGCTTCCAGGATGGCAAGGAACTGAGCAGCAGCACTGTCAAACATTTCCACCAGCAGCCGCTCCGTAAYGTTGCGAGGCCATGACAACTAAGTAAGAAAAGGTAATTTAAGCCTTGTGATATCTAAACCAACTTGTAATAAAACAGATTTTTTTCAAAACAGTTCTCCATCAGAATGTAAGTATATGTTCAAAACAGAAAATAATATATTGTAAAATATATTGTTGTTATTAATGTCATTCTTCAAAGGCAAAGAAAAGCCTCATGCTAAGTGGATACAGCACTTAGGAAGTCTAACCATTTCATAGCAACCAGGAACACTGGGAGAGCAAAAAAGCCCAATTAACACTACAATTTAAGGCTTTTAGATAACATAACATAATTGAGAGAAAGATACATATATGCTCCAGAAAATGGTCAGACAGGCTGAATAATAATGTAAGTTGCAAAATAGGTTTATTACTAAAAACTACTAAGAATAAATAGTACCACACTGGGGAGGGGAACAAAGACAGGGAAAAACTTACAAGAAGAAGAAAATAAAAATGGACATTTTAAGACACCTGTTATTCTTTCCRGGGACCCGTCTCTTTCTCAGGTCGTCCCTCTCCACCCCTCCATGTCTTCCCGCACGCAAAGGGAGGCAGGAAGGAAAGTCTAACATAGATCAAACTACTCTTTACGGTTGTTGTCCAGCATCATAGGAGAAGCGTTCTTACAGCTCCAAGCTGTGGAAGGTCTTTTCCCAAGAAAGTCAGTGTATAACTGCTGATGGCATGGGATTCTTTTCTTTACSTCATAGGAGAAAGGAAAGAATGTTCTCCAAGGCCAACCCCACTATCACAAATCTCCTGGCACAATGCAGCTTCTTCTAAGCATCCACTTGCTTCAGACATGGGGCGCGGGCACCTCTTCCCCCACAGAACACAATTTCTTCTTAGCATCAACTTGCTTCAGACGTGAGKGGGACCCAAGCCTCTTCCCCCTTTGTTGGCTTCTAATCARTTCAGTCCAGTCCTCCAAGGCCAGGTTTTTTTTCCTYGGAGCAAGGTCACTCTCTTTTCTATACAGGTCACCCATTGAAGAAACAGTCCTTTCGACAACAGCTTGTTTTCCCCCTGTTCAAGCACCACAGCAACAGCACCTGTCTTCTTCTTACTGTGATCTTGGGTCTCCATTCTTTTTTCTTACATCTCCTCACCCTCCTGCTCTGTCCTCCCCCAGTGCATGATACAACCTAAAAACTACATGGCGGCCGCCTTCTATCCTGTTTTGAATTCTTCTTAAGTACAAGACCATACATCATCACACAGGTGTAACTAGCCTGTGTAATTGGCCCAGGCCTGACCAGCAGCCTGTCCATCAACCTCAGAGCCACAATGGATTGGTTCTAAAACACAAAGGGTAGGGCTCCTTTTGCTGGAGAAGAAGGAGAAAGCTTCTAGAACTTTGTCACAGGAGCCATCTTTGTGGTTTCTTGGTCCCATCGCCCCAYCACCAAAAATCGGACCGAGTAAAACCAGGACAATCACATTATCATCACATGACAAAATAAAGGAAAAGAAGTGATATACAAAATGTTAGACTTACAGTTACTGTTCTTCTTGGGTTAACTTTTGGGTTAACTTTTGTCTCACGCCCAGGGAGTTTCGACTTTCTTCTGGATTCATATACTGCTCTTTTGAAAATCATTACTGACATCTGGCACAAAGAAAAAAGTAAGTCAATAATTATGTTATGTATTCTGTTCATAGAGATTGTAGATACTCTACCTTTTTATAATGAATTGCAGAATTATACCTTCAGAATGGCCTCTCTAAAAATCTTTTGTGTCTCCRTATTTTCCAAAGAACTAGGATTTTCTAATTGCTTCAATTCATCAATTTTAATCAAACCACGGCGAGCAAATATCTGTCCAAAGATTTAAAAAAAAAAAAAAAAGATACTTTATGTTCATATTCTGTATATTGATACTTAATTTTAGAATAATATCATTCTTGAATTTATACACCTGCAAAGAGCTGCAATGGAAGTCAGGTCATGAACAATTGAAAACACAACCTTTGCAAAACGGCTTTTGTTATGCATGGGAGCTGAAAATGCATGGGAGCTGCCCAATGTTTAACACTAAAAGTCTGAGATTGTGAGTATATTGAAAAGTGGTGTTGCTTTTGAGGTAATTATGCATTTACATGTGGAAACACATCTCCACTTTGCAGTAAAAATTTGGAATAGAGACAGAATTCTAAACACATATGATTTGATAATAAGTAAGAATATTTAAATATTTCCCATTTATTTTATCTGAACAGCTACATAAGGTAAACCAGGATACCTCTCCATGAATGCCGGCTTGACAATCAAAATAACACTGAGAAACTGCTGTATACAGGGTGGCTCTCCATGTCAAATAATGTACAGATAAGAGTGGAATGGATGATTCCATGCATACACTGGCCCACAGTATGTATTCCAGGACCTGCATTGAAGAAATCTAATTTCAAAATTAATGCATTTTAACCTACATAAATATACTTCCTGTTGCTAAAGGACAGCTACCAAGACCTATCCTCACCTGGTAGGACAAACTGAAAGAGGGGGAAAATCACAGAAATTGTATTAATTTTTAACATGCTTTATTGACAAAAAGAATTCTTCCTGCATATTATTGTTTTTTCATCTTAAACTGTAGTCAAGCACCATATTTTATTTAGGTACCTTTAAGATACCTTAACCACTCCAGTTCACTATAGTCTAGCCACSAGACAGAGGTCCTGCCCTTACCTGCTCTTATCTTGAGAGTTATCCCTCTATTTTCTGGCAGCTCTAGTGATCAGTTTTTAACAGGATCAGCCAGCTTCTTTGGGATGCAATGGAGTTTGTCCTCTTTGGTGAAAGCCTGAGCTTAGATTAATTTCTACCCATGGAACTAGACTCTTGGTTTCTAACTTGCAGGGCAACATAGCCACTGCAGCAGTCTAATTTTAATAATTAGTCCTAAATTTTTGAATGAACAGTAACAGTATCTTCTTACTATTTTCTTTGGATCAGCTGTTCCCTGAGGTACACAAAATGTGCACAATCTTATTCCTAAATTAATATATAAATTTTCTTTTAGTCTGAATTTCAAGAATTTGAAATACCTACAATCAATTCTTCTGTTTTCCCGTATAGCAGAAACCTGAACATGTTAAAGGAGGTGCTACATCACTTCTCCTTTTAATAGATCTGCAAATACAAAAAAATCTTTCCTGCTCAGTGAAAGTTCAACATAAACAACACATAATAAAATCTACTCTGTGAAGGCTGATGCAAATTCTGTTCAAGTTTTAGRAGAAAAGAGTAAAGCTGAGACAAACAAAAACTACATTCAGAAAGAAAAAGGCTGGGTGSAAAAGCCAGGTTGGTTTTATCAAGCATTTATAACTAAAACCCGAGCCACCAGGTGTCAGCACATTTCCACATTTTAAGAAACGAAAGACCAATTCTTCGAACATATGCACATGTCCAAAACAAAGCAGCTGCAATCCTCTGAAACAGCCTARCATATGGCATCTCAATGCCCAGCAAGACATTACACGGGGCTCCATTCCACAATCGAGGAATGAGCAGACTAAGGAAGGCACGAGGGCTTAGAAATCAACCACTCTGAAACACAGATATTTTATTTCTTTGTGACAAAATACTACCATTGGCAATGCCARTGAAATAGAAAGGTCAGGCTACACTGTTATGCGAAACACAGGTKCATTTTCTAAACTTCTGCAAATTTTTCAATCCATTCTATTTGTTTTGCTATACCTTAGCAGACTGACCCCTCATCATCAATTGTCTGCATATGGTGTAAATATGGATAGTACCTGCAAAAATAAATTAAAATAAATAAACAGATAAGTTCTATAATCCTACTAAGTTCTAAAATCCTATTAAATTTATCATGCTAAGCAACTCAGTATTTTTCATATTATCTGGGTTGTTATTTACAGAGAAAAACGATTTAAAAACTTTTCATTAAAAATGAAAAATTMATGATTTTTCTGTAAAAACTTCTAATTTAGAGAAGATGAAGCTATTAAATGCTTCTGCAATATTAGGTTCAAAAATACCTGCACAGYCAAGCAGTATAACATAAGAATGAAATCTTAAAAATTTAGTGTATCAAATTTTTACTAAGTAACTGATAGAGAGACGAATCTTATTTAATTCCCAAATGCCAGGCTCTTTAAAACGAAATAATATCTCTTCTCACAGACCTTACCTTACACGATTCTTTTAGTCCATCATGGCACTGGCAGACACYCCCACAATTACGTAATATTAAGTATGATAAGTGACATGAAGAAAATTGATAACAAGTAGAGTTTTCAAGAGCATCAAAATTACTTAGAAATAAAAAAAAACATCGAAAATTTTCTTGATTTAAGCAATGTCATAAAATTTTCAAAAATCTGTCCTAAAGTACAAAAGACACTGCAGTTCTGGAAGATAAAAAAGCCTATTCTTCTGTCTGTATGAATATAAAGGGACACCTGMGGCAGCAGGAGGCATCACAATATCAACTGTCATAGCTAGAAGGGTGTTATTATCCCAMTAAGTTCAAATGGAGCAAGTATTAGGAAGATTTCTTTCTATCAGTCAAATGTGTAATGAGGAACAAAATCTATTGTCTGAAATTGCAGAAAAATGCTCAGGAGCTAGGAATAATCCAAGTTATTGCTTACTTCTAATTAGAGTAGGTTAGTGGCTAGGATTGGTACAGAGACCTGTCCCACACACCGGCAGTGGATTTAAGAATGGGAAGGTGAGTATATTTTAATTTTAATTCTCCCATAGAAACATACAATCAAAAAACACACCTCAAAAGTAGGGACTGAAGAGAGGAGCAGTCTCAGTAAAACAAAAGGATAAGAATTTTACCAATCATAGCTCGGCGAAAGTACATTTTCAAAATGAAATTAAGAACATATCATCTCCTCAATTTATATTGCAACAATTGACCATAGTAGCTCATTTGGTTAGGGCATGATGCTAATAATGCCAAAGTTGTGGGTTCAATCCCTGCATGGGCYAYCCACTTAAGTGTTGGACTTGATGATCTTTGTCTGTCCCTTCCAACTCAGAATATTCTGTTATGCTGTGATATTTATACTAGTCTGTTTACTTCTGACTAAATAACACTTCCTTTCAAAGCAAAAATATACTGTTGTTCGTGAAATTAAAATCTTGACAAATCATTCTCTGTGTATCTAGCTTGCAGAAGCTCCATTCTTTTCTCAATTTTTACCTAATTCAAGCATTTACAAGTTGCACCCTGAAATCKTACAGAGATTAAAACTCTTCAATGTCATATGGTATTTTTTAGAATAGTTTTATTATCAGTTCTTCCCCTCAAAGCATTTTAAAAAATGAAAAGATGTAATGGAGGACAACTATTTTCTACTCTTAGACCTGCAATCCCCTTTTCAAAAAAAAACACAAAACAATAAACAAACAAAACCCCAAACCAAAACAACAAAAAACCCCCACACCAATAAAAAAAAAGACAAAATGAACTCATCAACTCAAACATTTTATAGATAGAAAAATCTTGAGGATTTTTTTGTTAATCAAGATTCACTCCAGAAGTGCCCTAGTGTCCTYACTATACTGTTAGATTTGATTTTATTAGTATATTCTTAAGCACAGTTATGATGAAAAAGCTGATGCTTTTACAATAGTCCACCTGAAAAGGCACACTGCAGAAATTTCAATTTTAAAATCCCTTCTATTAGAGAAACAAATAATTACAAAAAAAAAACCCGACTGTGATTGAAGACTAATTAGAGATTTTTTCATGACCCTTAGGTTGACCTTAAAGGGAATGTATAAAAGTTTCCCTTCACAGCATTGCTTAGCAAAGAAATGTAAATGGAAAGCCTGAGGTACCATTGTAGATAAGCCAACACAAATTCTCCTGAGGTAGAGCCTCTTGCATAATGAGTTGGAATGAGGTCAAGACATTSAGGCAAGTCTGAAGAGACTCTGGATTCTGAAGATTTCTGTCAGTGCTGAAAACAATCTGATAAATGCAAATATTTCTTGCTTCCAAAACATGGAACTARAACACAGAGAAATATATATAAAGTTAATTAAAATACAACATAATCAGTTCACCTCAGCAAAGTACAAGCAAATGGTGAATAGGAAAAGATCAAGCATACCAGAAAAAAAAAAAATCGGCAAGGCATTGAACTGAGAATTAGAGTATGGGAGAAAGTTCTAAAGCTTCAGGATTGCTGTACTATTARCCTGAGTCCATTTCCACTGTGTCATAGGATGAAAATGCTCCTAAATGTACCAGGACTCTTGGAAGGGGTGTAGGGAGAATGAGGCACTAAACTGCTATTCAAAGAATCTGGCTTAACACTTGGCTCTCTGTAGACGTATTCCATAAACCAGGGCAGGTTTGAACCTCTCTACACTTCTCCATCTGTATTACCAATATMTTATTTCTCACTCTCATCTATCGCATTCCTCTTTAATAGACAGATTTTTCCTTCTCTTCCTTGTAATACCTAATATAACRTGATCTCAGTTGTGCCTGGGGTACAGCATTAGCTGAACAAACAACATGTGAAAAAATTAGCTAAGTCAGACATGACCAGTCAGTACCTATCAATCTCACAGAAGCCTCCTAACCTGATAACATTTGAAATTATCTTATTTTTTTGCAGTTAATTCACTGAAGCTGAAAGTTTTGAGCCCTGAAACTCCATTTCCATGATTTTCTTAGTGTTACATTAAAAAACAAAAGCTAACTGCAGAAAAATGGCAAGAAAATTTACATCCAAAGCCTTTAGATGTAATCACGGGATACATTATCATTTTACATTTCCAATTGAAGGGATCATTCTCAAACTAGATTCCATATCTGATAATTCATGAATTTCTCAGTATGTAAAGGTTAAGTTACAGAACAGGTATTTTAGTACAGAATTGCAGTAGTATTGGCCCTATTATTGGTTCAAGGTCTAAGCACACATGGAAAAAACAAAGGAAAGTATCTCTGGAACACATTTGTGGAGGATAAAATGGGCTACTTACTTTGAATCTGTGAATGTCTTTGACCAGAAAAATTTAAAAAACTCATAACCTACCGTACGTGATACATTTTTGTCTCTGAAACCATTTGGAAAAAAGGTGGACTTAAAGAGATGCACATCGCCCATGACATCATCAAGGTTTCCAGACACGAACTGATGAAGGTATCTTTCATAGCACTGTAGAAGTGCCAATTCATATTCCTGAAAAATGAATCATATGTTCTTTCATAGTTTGTATACTGCATTTCTATTTCCATCAAACACGGGTTTTTTTATTGTCTTGATGTAAAAAAATATCAACATGAAAGAGCAATGGGAAATAAAGCACTACAGTTTCATACAAATATCCAGCAATGCAGTGCAAACAGTCAGCATAGGAAAAGTTGAAATACTTTAAGAAATGGCTTGTGCTTTGCAAGTTTGTCAGTTTTGTTTATTCTGATCATAAACACGACATATCAGAGAACAATTATGAAGCAGGGTCCTTGGCTAATGTAATAAACCCAGAGTTGCTGGAACATTCTGCAGATTTGCAACGGTAATGACAACAATTCTGCACTTCAGAAAAAAGTACTTCATAATGCAGAACTTTATAAGCAATATATGGACATAATCACTTCTCTCTTCCTTGTTTCCATGTTGTCAAAGCTTTTTTTTTTTTTTTTTAATAAAAGCAGATAGGAAGAGTACGATGCACTAAAAAAGACTGAAACAAGTGAAAACTGGAATTTACATATGGCCAAGAAATCAGCAATAATAGACCAGAAATTGCCACTGGGTCTTTAAGCACTGGTAACAAAGAGGATGTTGAGTTTTATGCCTCATTCCAGATAGAGCTCCCCAGCAGCAAGTCAAACCACTTTAAAATCACGCTGACCCTATGGTTCAGCTCTGACTCAGATCTGGAAGTGACAYTTACTGAATCACCACCACCACTTCCTTCAGCAAAGGTTACATTTAGGTTTCTCTACCACCTTTACTAATTCTAGCACATACACTAAATAAATTTTTGAGGAAAAGGTAACTAACTTCTGCTGAAAATGATTCTTTAATATTTAGTCACAGAAAATTCTTATTTCCTTGCACTCCCTTCTTTATTTCAATATAAATTCCTTCCACCACAGTGACACATTAAATTTTTAATCATCTGAGGAGTCTAACTCATGGCTCTATTGTATCTTTGCCATGTGAAAGCAGCAGCCATCCACAGAAACTCTTGGACAGCTATGGGCAGTCACTTGTGTATTCTAATATATACATTCAGGCTGTGATAACACTTAGAATCCATAGCCATGGATCAGAATACCATTAAGATAGTTATTGATATACAACAAAAAGGTAAATTCTCTCCTGAACAAGTTAAAGTATGACCAAAGATAACAAAAAGATACAGACAGAGATGGAGGTGGGGAAAAAGACGAGTCAGTGCTGATCACTATGATGACTAACGGACTAAATAATTTCCAGAGAGATGACTTAACGAATTTAGGTKTGTCCAAAAAAACACATAGCAAATGTATTATAGGAAGGAATCAAATGGCATTWAAAAAAAACCCAGGAGGACAGAAAGCTAAGCTCATGCTTACCCACTGCCTACTTACACGTATCAATTATTTCTTAAGGACTATACATCATTAAGTACTATATAATGTAAAAGCAGGTTAAAATTTAAAATATTCAACACTTGTTTCCAACTAGGAGTCAAGAGGGGTACTTATGGAATAGGCTTTACCCCACCTATCACAGATCTGTAAAACGTGGTGTGTTTTACACCACATTCATCCTTCCTGTAATGCATTTGAAATTTGCAACGTCCATCTCCTGTTGTTTCTTTGTTTCTTCTCAGATCACACTGCAGCTGGCGGGGGAGGGAAGGGGGCGTGGGATGCACCACCACATGTTCTGACACAAATATCACTGAGCTTGTAAATGGCTTACCCTTAATGGATTTGTTTTTCCCCAGGAAACACAAAGGACAAATAGTATATAAAGATACATTTGCCTTATTGAGTCAGATCAACAGTTACCAGCCTGGCATCCCATCTCTAATAGTAGTCAGTRACAGATGACTGAGTAAGAGCATTGAAATGGAGTTATCATATGGTCAAACATCCTCCAAATACTTCCAGCCTTCAACAATCTAGCTCCTGAATCCCTTTTAGTTGTGATCTACCTTTTATGAGGAGACCAGAAATGCACACATATTTCAAGATACAGGAGCATCACCGATACATATAATTGTACAATGTGTAATTACGCTCTGGTTCTTGATCTCTGCTCCTCTCCTGACAATTCTTTTTATTCACATTTGGTTAACTGAGCATTGAGTTGAGTCAGTGGGACTGCTCTATCATTGYCAATTTGTACTTTAACAGCATCTAAAGGCACAGTCAGATATCATACTCTATCATGTTGAAACATCAGACAAATATTAGAGAAAGATTTGGAGGTGTTTAAAAAGGCAATGGATGCATAGAAAATACAGATGTGGAAACCATATTAAAAAATCAGGGAAATTTTACATATAATAAGCAAGAGATACAAACCACCAACTCTCACTGGAATAATTTTGTRRAAGTTTTTGCTACTTTTTAAGTAGCTTCCGCTAAAATATGATTAAAAATTAAAGCAGCATAGAAGCAGAATGAAACAAAGACTGTGAYTGTGCCTTTTCTGATTTCAAACAACTTACTTTGATCTCAACAAGGGCATCACCAACTTTCACAAGTTGTTCATTGTAATACCACTCCGGTAGTCGTGGCTTATATTGGATCCAAATATTAAACAAAGTATTTGCCCTAAAAAAAA